CCCAACTAATAATTAATAAGTCATTATTAATCAATGTTAGTGTAAAAGCTTCTACAAATAATTTTAATTATATACTTAAACCTATACTTTTATAAAAGCAATGTTAACTGTGTGAAAGTTATCGACTATAATTAAGTGGATAGGTGTGATACAAACTTAATGTTAGTTTGAGCTTTTGTTATTCTTTCTATACAAAAAATAGTAAGTTCTAAGTTTTAATATTGTGTAGAGACTTTCAAACTGTAAAATTAACTGGTCTGTGTCAAGTTCACTTAAATTTATTTATATTTTTCATTTTTCTTATGAATTATATTTTGTTCATTATTCCAGAATACTTTACTTTAAAAAATTCTCATTGGCACCATTTGAGTCAACTTTACAATATCATTAGTTCAAGGTATCTAAATCTTTAAATTGTGTTCTTTTGTCTTTTTATGTTATCTTGTTAGGATTAATGATAATGATGCCTTGGTTACCTTATAAATATAAGTGGTCTAAAATGATAATTTATAGAGAAAATCAAATGAGAATAATATGCTGATTTAGTAACTTCAAATTAGGCAGTAAGAGCAATAGAGCTTTAAAGATATTATTTTTAGTATATAAAACAACAAACATTAGTGACGTAAGAAAAATAAGTTTTTTAAGTAAATAATCCTACTTTAAAATATCATTGGTTATAATGAAATTTAATAATATTATTAGTTATGTGCTATGTCTATAGAAGTGATTTGGAAGTAGAACATTTTAAAGTATGAGGAAAGTCATCTTTAATTGATATAGTATGTAAGTAATAAAGCTTTCAATTTTTGTTTGCTCGATCTAATAATTGATCTAATAAATATAATATGCCACATAACAATTGATTGCGTAATCAACCTTTACAAATCTTCACTTGCAATATTGTGAAGGTCATATTTTAAAGTAACTGATGACCTTAATAAACATAAATATGAAGATTTTTCATATTGCCAGATTCATTACTTTCAATATTCATTTCCAGCATTCATGGTGGTGTGAAAATCACATTTTCTGTAAATTACGTGGACAAAATTACAGTCTAAAGAAATATATAAAATTTTGAATTTAAAAGTAATCTAAGGATACTTGGCATAAATAAAAAGGTACAAAAGACCTCTACAAATATTATTATTTGACATTATAAAATGTCAAGTGTATCAAAGTTTTTCAAAGGATATGGATCAATAATAAATATTATTTAATAATGATATTAAAAAGATGATTTTTTTATTGTTTAAGAGAGCAATACAAATAACAAATATCAGGGGCCATTAGGGCCTTATATGTAGTGAGACCGAAATTTTGGTTTCGGCCAGTTTCGGCCAAAAAATCTAGTTTCGGCTTCGGCCACAATATAGCCGAAACTTTAATCGTGAATTGAGGTTCACAAAACACTCTAACTGAAAGTTGTTTCTTTTTTTAACTGACTTCCAAAAAAGAGGAGGTTCTCAATTCATCGGAATCTTTTTTTTTTATGTATGTATCACCGATTACTCGAAGACGCCTGAACCGATATGGAAATATATTTTTTTGTTTCAAAGGGTATTCTGCCCAGGTGGTCCCATATAAATTTTATCGAAATCGATCGAGCGGCTTTTAAAAAATCAACAATAAATATATATTTTTTAATAAATTGTTTAATCGATCATGTTATTAAAAAACTTTCTTCTTACAAATTACCTGCTTATTACGTATACACTAAAAATGGAAAAATAAAAACTTTAAAATAAAAAAAACGATTTCCAAAAAGCTGATTTTAGCGTGACGTATTTTATGAACGGACCCTTAGCGAATTCACCTTAATCTATGCTTCTATGTGACCGATGGAGACAAGGAAATTCGCAAAAGGCACAAAGTAACCAACATGGCCTGCTACTAGAGCTATAAAGAGCTTTTAATAAACAGTCGGATAAAAAGTAATATAGTCAGTGCTGGATTTACACTAGGAGCTCTCGGGGCTAGTGCCAAGGGCAGTAAATTTTCAGGGGCGGCAAAATTCAGAGGGTAAAAAAAATTTTATCTTAAGTAATGTTATCGAAATTTTTATTGTATTTTCCAAAAAGATGAATAATTAAAAACAAAATTACTACGACATTTTTTCGAAAAATTTAAAAAAATTATAAATAAATTTTCTGCATTTTTATTAAAAAAGAATTATAATTAAAAAATATTAAACTTTATCGAAACTATCCATTTTTATGCAAAATTTCGATATTGAGCCATCATTTTTACAGTGCCCAGGGGCGGTGTTAAGGTTATATCCGGCACTGAATATAGTAGCTGTTTCTGATATTTCAGTTGTATAAATAAAATATTTACTAAATATTTAACATAACGCGAAATGTAGTGTTATTATTATTCAAATAAACTAGGTTATCCAAACAACATCATGCTGCGCGTTTTAACTAAATCTGTACTTAGTTACATGAAATGTTGTAACAACAATATTGTCAGCAATAATAGGTAGGTAGGTACTTGTGTTATTTGGCAGCATCAAATGAAAGTGTAATCTATTTTTACTCTGCGCCATTTATTAACAAAGATTTTACTTAAATTATTCGAAGAAAATTAGTTATGTTGTGCATTCTTTGAAAACACCTAATATATTTCAATAACATGGCGGTAACTATATATTAATTAATTTGAAGGTTTCTTGCTGTATAAGCGGAAAAGATTGTTCTTTTAATGAAAATAATTCTATAATATCATACCAAAAATTATCAATTGTTATATAATTGTAAAAAAATATCCAACTCTAAAAAACAAAAATCTAGTGTAAAAAAAATTAAAAATACCACCGATACGGATACTTTAAACGCCGCGCTGGCCATTTTGCGCGCTCGGAGAGACGTCACAGTATGATCTACACAGAAAAATTACGACAAATTTGTAGCGATACAATCGCTAATCGCTCCGTTATGATAATACTTTGACGTCATATTCAGTCTGACCAATGGTGTGCGTTTCAACTACTTTGAATTTCCAATCTATATATTGACTTTTTAATAATTATTTTCTTAATCAAAAAGAAATGACATTAAAAATATTGATATAGGCTTAATTCAAAAGCATTAAAGTTTATAAAATAAAAATATTTCACCTGTATTTAAATCACACGCATATTCTCTATTCATCTCCAAGTAAAACAATATACAAATAAGTTTATTTTCCACAAATACTAACAGTTATTAGTTATTACATATTATGTAGTTCCGTGGCTAGAGCAAAACGAGAATACCCTCTATACCGTCGCAGGGGATATATCATTGTTGCTTTGCTACATAGGCTTGGTCGGCGCGAGGGCAACAAGTAGAGGTGTGTAGACCGTAGATGAAAATCATAAAAGTTGCGTTATCCATAGTGGTAGAATATTTTAAACAGTAGTATTACCTTATACCTGTTCAGTTTTCACTTTCGTTTAGCTAATACCGCTATCTAAATAAGACTTTCGCCGGCCATACATGGGACTGTTCGACCAGTTAGCCAGTGATCAACATGAACGGACCGCTCTTGCTATTGTTGATACCAACTGCTGCATTTAGTATAAACTGCTCCAGCAGTTATCAATGACAGCTTCAAGCTGTTCACTATGACTGTAAGAGCGGTCCGTTTATGTTGATCACTAGCTAACTGATCGAGCAGTCCGTATATGGCCGGCCTCAAAGGCCACTTGGGCTCGCCTCTAGACAAACAAAAACAAATTTATCCCACGGGAACCGTACATTTTTCCGGGATATAAAGTAGCCCATTTGTTATTCTGATGTATGAACTATATTATTTAAAAGTTTCATTAATACCTCCAGGTAAATTTCTAAGAAAATAATTAAAATTCTAAGAAATCTATTGTTAGCTGACACGCCGGCGTGTCCGCGGTCGTAGAGGGATTAAAATCCAATCAGTAATTCTTGTGTACTAAGCTGAATAAGTTACTATAGTTTTTTAACTATCAAACGGAAACTCTTTAATTTTCTGGAATGAAAAGTATCTAAAATGTTGACCGGGGATATAAGGTACCACCATGAAAAATTTCATTTAAATCGGTCTAACAGTTTCGGAGATTAGCCCGTACACACAGACAAACAAAAAAAATCGAAAAAAAAACTGGATTTGTTCTATTTCTCTTCTTACAGCCCCTGACTCAATTTTTAGTTTTTTTTTCTATGTACAGACATTCGACTTCTACAGTTGTATTAGGTATAGGATAGTTTTGAATAACCAGTCATTCTACTTTAATGTAGGCTCATTAGATAGGTTGGTATGTGCCTTTGCTTTTGCTACCGGTAAATCGGCAAAACTTTCATGTTAGAAAGTATACGTTCGGTCTTACTAATTAAGGCCTATATGAATATCATTCGTGTGACAAATATATTTTATTAACTGAAATAAATTACTTCAAAGTTTAATCAGTGCACTTGTATACGTTTGAAACGTGACGTTATCTCTTTATTTATTTTAGATAAAATATTTATTCAACTTTATGTTCAAGATATTAATATGTTTTTAGCTTGTAGCTGTTTTGACTAATACCGTTGAACTCAGTCTCTTAAAAGACAATTAAATTTTCCTCTGTGCAAATTTTTTATTTCTCTCAAATGGGCTATAAAGTATAAATGTTTTTTTAGGTAAAAAGTAACATTTTCACAATAATTTGTTGCATTTGCACGCAGATTTCTATTCTGTTTGAGATAGTTAATACAATATATTTTTGGTCTTGACAGTAATTTGTGCATATCTTTTGTTACACTTATTTAAATGATTAATACATTTTTTTCATTATTTAATACAAGCTATAACAAGTGGAAGTTGCTATTTACATTTTAAATATTAATTTCATGGTGAATCACAGTCATACTTATCAACCTATCGCTGTCTATTGCTGAATGATGGCTTCTATAAAGCGCCAACTACCCCACCTGAATCCATCTGCTGCCACCTTTCTCATAATTACAGGTCGTCGTACACTACGTTATATTTGCCTAATCGCGGTCTCCGTTCCAGCACGTGTCGGCTTCATCGACTATAAGTGCGTGCCTTGCTGACCTTTTGATTTGGCCTTGTGCTTGGTTGGTCACCTGGACATATCATAAATTTATAAAATCCTCTTCCTCTAATAGTCGCGTCGTAATATGTAATTGAATAACGACAAAAAACCTGTCTTTAAATTGTTTGACCAGTTATTGATAGAAATTTAACAGAAGCTCCATAACAGTCGTGTCTAATATTGTTTGGAGAATAAACAGGTAATATATTTTTACTGTAAAATTACTAACCGAAATGCCGAATTTTAAAGCTTCTAGGTGTGGCTGTGGACTAGAAGCTGATACACTTCTTAATACATTTTGATTTAAGCAAAGTGCGGCATAATAAACCCAATCCGACCACCAATGGAATGTGATGAAAATGTCACTATACTCAGTGTCGTTATATTTATACCAAAATAGTCTTAAAAAGAATGAACTGGAACAAATGTTCCTTTTTATAGATCAAGAAGGTTTAACCTTCATCAATATATGAGATGTCGAAACATTCGTGCGAGTTATTCCGTGTGAATCAGAGTGTGTTGGGCTTTCGCGTGTTCGCACGCCTGAAATAGTCAGTGCAGTAGAGTAATTAGCAACGTCTACACAGGTTGCTTAAGACTTACGTCTTCTTATCTTATTCACTAAATGACCAAATTAGTGTTAATCTCAGTGACCACCTAAGCTCCTATAATTAATCAGTTATATAATTAGTAATAAGTTTTTTACTAGTTGTTCTTTTTTATAAACAAAGAAACTAAAGCGACAGACAAATTCTGACAGTTTCTGAATATTTACTTTTGTGAAGTGACTTATCTGATGGAAAGTGAAATTTAGTAAGTATCTTATTCCATAGTCATGTGTTTTATAGAAAAATCAGATGCAATTTTAAATGTTGGTGCTATTTATTTAAATATTCATTAAATGCTAATAATGTACCATATCGTCTTTGGTTTAAGATACAAAATCTGACCAAGTTTTAATTTATAGGCGTCGATTACAACGATAATTTGATCTTGGGCATTGAGGTTACGGATTATAAGAGTATCGTGTTTATTATTGTTTGTTTTTATTAAACTTGTTTATATAAACTTCTTTCAAAATTATCAGAGTTAAAAGTTTACTACATTTCGATTCATAAAAATTGATTTTAAAGTATTTTCCACTTTCCTAAAAAGAATTTGCTTCTTTAAACATCCATAGGATATCCTTAAATGAACACGAAGTATTACGTTATGTAATTTATTTTTTTGCTAATTTATATCATATTCTCGTATAGTATTTATTTATTAGATGCCCATCCCGTAAGACTAAATTAATTTTTCGAAACGAACTGTATTTGAGCCCAGTGTTTGGTTAGAGTTACACGGACCCATGAACCTTAAACTTATTACGATTATAATAAAAACTTACTAAGCCGAATCTGTACATTAAATATTTTTTGGAAAATCTTATTGAATAGATCGATACAGAGGCCGAATCTATAGTTTTTAGTCTGTCTGTCTGTCTCTTACCGCATCGCGGGAAAAGATTTTGAAGTATGATGATAATTGGTTATCCGGGTCAACATATAAGATACTTTTAACATATAGGATACTTTTAGCTGATGTATAAGGAGTAACTTGGCTACTTTCATTTTAGAAAAAAAATAGGGTTCCGCTCAAAAAAATAAACGTACCTAGCTAGGCACGCACACGAGCGAAGCGAGAGTAAGTCGCTAGTAACAAATATCGATCAGAATTATAACAAAATAGCGACTCACCCTCGCTTCGCTCGGGCTCGTCCCTAGGTACGTTTTAAATTAAAATGGATATAGTATGTTATCTTTAAGAGATAGACATATGCCATCGCAGACGTTTGTATGGACTTATATAAGATACACAATTCCACCATACGTTATTTTGTTATATCTCAAAGGGTTTAGGCAGCGTTTTCGTTGAAAATTTTTTTTTATTTTTTTCCGACATCTCCAAATATCGCTATATTTTAGCCAATGTATACAAAAACTTATCAAATTATATACTAAAACCTTCCTCTTGAGTCACGCTATCTATTTAAAAAAACCGCATCAAAATCAAAAAAACAGACAGCGGGAAGCGACTTTGTTTTATATCTACTATATAGTGATAAGTTAATAGGGGTTTCTAATGTCTTATTCATCAATGCTTTAAAATAAAATATAGGACATAGCTCTTAGCTTTAAAATAATACCTTCAGTATTATTAATAACCAATAAAATTTAAATTTATCGCCTTATCGCAATGAATAATTTTCTTTTATCTTGATATTTTGACTATCGGATGACAAATAAAAGCATTTAAAATGAGATCGAATTTTTAATATAAGTTTATATAATATTTATAATTTATGCACATTATATATTTTATATACGTATATTGAGTATAATCAATATATTTGTTTATCAACAAATAAAAATATTAAATAAAAACTAAAAACATTTAAGTTTTCCTTTTTTAAATGTAACTATACATAAAGTAATGGGTATAACGATTTACGTAGTAGTTATTTTTTACACGTTTGATCGTTTTATATAGCTTACATTATAACATACCTACATAATACTTAAGTAACCTTCTCTCATCTCTTTCATTGAGAAATAACAAATATGTCATGTAAGTATGGCTATCCATGTGGACTCCCATTATTTATGTTATACTTAAATTAACGAAAATACTTTTCTTAACTATAAAAATATATAAAGAGACATACAAAAATTAACTTCTATATCTGTCCCTGATGATATCGGCAACAATATCTCTCGGTAACATTGTGGCTCGTGCTGTTTTCGTTAACGAAGTTTTGGCGCTTCTACCAGGTCGCCGGTTGAAGTAAACGTAGACGTTGTACACTAGCTGCCTGCTGTCTGCCGGGATCTCTACGTGAGTTTCCTCTCCGTTTTCCGTGCCTCTACCGCTATATAGTCTCCTCCAACTAAACATTGTCCAGGCTGTCATTGCTTCGTCCCCGTATTGTGCCGTTTTGATTACAAATTTAACCACTTTTCACAGGATTTAACACGAAGTCTGGTTTTTTATAGATTAATTTTATATTTCAATAAAAACTATAATTACAAAATTCAATAATTAAGTATCACAAACTGTCTAACAGTGAGGCAAAATGCGTAAAAGCTATTATAGTTTATACGAGTTATGTACCCAATCGTACAAATAATATCCGATCTTCAGAGCTGATTGGTGACAACTGGTGGCATGGAGGCCGTCAAAGCCTACATCACCAATCTGTTCACACAAACGTGACATCCGCTTTGTATTAAACGTGACAATAATATTGCAGACTAGATAATTATATTACACGCTATATAGCTTCTACAAATTTAGGTTTGTACTACATTATACTTGAACCTTGCCTAATTGAGTGATAAAGCCGTTACAAAAATTAACTGTACATACAAACTCGTTAGTATTACCCTACCTTAAATATGCGTTTCATAATGAAGCGAATTCATAATTATAGTATTTAGATGTTTCTATTTAAAGAGATTTCCCTAATCCTAATGCGCGATGGCTTTTAGAAAGAATATGTTAATTTATTTACTTGCAGTCTAAATAAATGTCGGTACTTTAAAAAACGGTAAATTTTATTATATTAAACAGGTATTAATTTGTTCACTATTTTAATACTATTTTAATTGTATAACAAAGTGAATACTACTTATCAATTGTAATACATATTTCACGAACTTGGCTAGTACTTGACTATTATCATGCAATAGGTACTATATTAAAATGAAAATAGATATTATCTATTGGAAATTGCTAAATCTATGCTAATATTATAAAGAGGTAACGTTTGTGAATTTGTGACGTTGTAGGGGTAATCTCTGGATCTACTTAACCGATTTAGATGAAATTTGGTAAGAAGATAGTTTGAGACCCTGGGAAGGATATAGAGTACTTTTATTTCGGAAATCATCCCTTGATGGGGTGAAAATGGGGATAAAAGTTTGTATTGGGAAGCAAGCTAAGGACGAACCCGAGCGAAGCGAGGATGAGTCGCTAGTAACATAAATAAATTGATTATAACAATCTAAAATAACAGTATTTGAAAAAGTATACATTAATTTTGTAGTATTAAAGGATTGGTATTCGCAAATGCCACGAACCTTATAGTTGCGTAACGGTTGTTTCGTTGAATGCAGTGAAATAGTTAGCGGAAACTATAGAGTAGCTGATGATAATTGTGGCGGCAATTTTATGGTCTGTAAAAGCGTAACAATGTCAGTGTCCTCCACTTCATCTGCACAAAGTTTTGGATGTTACATACTATTGTTTCATCAAATAATCCAATAAAATCTTATAAATTACTATTTATGATTTCCACTAGCGTATATGCTATACAATTATCTGAATTGATTTTATAGCTGGCAATTGTTTTGAATTTATAACGAGTCTTGCGTTCTTGCATACTTAGGCAAATAGGAAAAGGTACGACTAGAATATATAATGATGTTATAAACATCACATCACTCTGCGAGAACATTACTGGGGTTTCTAACCTTAGAGCTATAAAGGTTTCTTAATCCTTAATCCTAAGCTGCTATTTTTTTTAGTATTAGTCCTGAATTACATCAGATTCCGTTTTGTAGAATACATATGCTAATAAAATAACATTTAAAAGATTTCCTGCATATTTGCTTATTAATTCATGTGCAATAATTTTTTCGAAAAAATAACTGTCTTAGTTAGATGTCTGAAGTCTCAACACATAACCGTGCCTTTGAAATTACTTGTCATAGTAGGGGAGTATAAAGTTTATGATGATTTATAGTCGATTTTTGCCTCTTCGGCTTGTGCAAATCGGCAGATTATTGAATTGGACACTTTTCAGGATGTGACTAGCCTACCACACCTTAATCTGACGGTTTCAAGTATTTCTACCTTATCAAAACATTTTTTAAATATTTTAATCGGCTTCCCTAGACGCGCCCCTTTATATAGAAGACTTATATGATGGTGAAAGTACTCAATAGAGTGCAAGGTAACCTCTTTTATGTTAATCTGCCGCGCTCGAGTAACTACAGAAAATCCCCTCTTGGGCTCCCCTACTATCAGGAATACCTAGTCCCCGAGTCTTTTATGTGCAATAAGAAGGTTAAAGTTAAGTTTTTGTAATTCCAATATTCTGGGTTAAAATTTTAGCTCCAATTTTTTTATCGTTCTATTGAATCTATTTTTATCCAAAATTATGATCTGATTTTAACAGACGAAAATAGTGATTATTATTTTTTGCTTCTCTTTTCATCGTCAGTCGTTACTAATCAGACCAATATCTTTTCCAAAGTTCGTTATCGGTCTGCTTTTATAATAACAACGACAGAAAAAACTTAATAAAGTACATAATTAATTCTATGTGTTAAGCTTTCTTTACGTCAAATTTCGATTCAGGAATGTAATTTGATCAATACTACAACGATTAAATTAAGTGCTAGGTGATTAGAGTCGATTACGAGACGTAGTTGGACTCTGACCATTCATCAGCCTCCTACAGTTTTATAGATGCCTTGAACTCGCGTTACGTACATACGTATATACTTTATTACCAATTTATGCTAACTTTCTAGATTGAACAGCATCTATCTTAGATTAGTTATTGTTGCGCAGTAGGAATACAATAAAAGGCAGAAGTATTAGAATTCATATATTAGTAAAAGATAAAAATTTTACAAAAAAATATGAACAACCCCTATAAACTCTAACACACCCTAAGTCTCATCTTTCACGTTCTTATGTAGGAAGTTTGCCGACAGTCTGAATCTCTTAAATTATGTATGTTTTAATTTTTTTTTTGCAGACATCAGGCAAGCAGTTTACTTTCTCTATAACTTTCAAAAATATGAGTTATACACTAGTATAGTATTATGTGCTATGTGTGATATGTACTTACCATCTAAATGTAACTATTTTTACTTATTTCCGTGTTGATATGACAAAGTTTTTGTTTTTAAATTTAATTGTTTGTGAATTTAAAGGATAATGTAGACACTAAACAGCATAAGTAGCACGTACGTACTTAGATATATGCGAAAACTTGAAATAGCTTCAATAAATCTAAATCATCTAGTATTGCTCAATTAAATTTCTTTAATTGCTTCTGCTTGCGTCTCCGCGCGGAGTTTCTATACTATAATTGCTTCGCTCCTAAGGGTTGTAGCTTAATGTTAGATGACCTGTTAACTTCATAAACATGTATTTAAATCATATTTCCTAATCAAATAAACGCTTTAAAATGTAAAAAACAAATATAGTATATACATCAACTTATATTACAATTTACAGGCTATAAACATATTATGTTTATGTCCGTATGAGTGTGCAGTTATGCTGGAGGTGTGTATTGTATTATTAGTGTTATTCTAACCAATTATCGCTATAGTAATAACTGATTCACATTAGCCTATAAATAAGATAGTTATTAGGTTAGTAGGTCTAGGTATTTATTAATTATTTGTGGATTAAATTAGACAACAATAGGTATATACACAGAGGAAAAAGATAATAAAAATGTCTGTCTAATTTAACTCTGTTTCATTAGAATATCATTAGAAACATTGATAAAACGAAAAATGTAAGATACTGAAGAGGGGGACGAGATGACAAAACATGTGACTCAACGTGAAATTAAGAACCAATGGGTTAAATAAGTTGTTGAAGCTTTGGTTTTATTATTTTAATTTTCTCATCTGTCATCATATTCTACGTGTTCTAAAAATACTTCCCTTTTCACTCAACGAGTGTCTCATATACGACATGTGTTCAGATGCCAATTGAATAAGCTTTTGCCAGTACCACCTGCGTCCGTCCTACTCGCACGCGCCACAACAGCTGTTGCGTGGGCGAACGTTTAGAGCGCCTTTGGGATTTGGCTATACTTGTTTGCATATCCACTGTGTTCTGTGAAGCTTTTACAAGTTTCACATCTTATATTTTTTGTATTAGGACTGTATCCGGTTATACCACTAATTATATTGTAAAATATTCAATGTTCAAAGACTCAAATCTATTATTACACCTACATCAGACAATTCTGGCCTCTAAATATAGATTCTTTCAAACACAATTACCAAAAAAATATTGACGTTTTTGGTACATTCATTTAGTAGAAATAAATGATCATAGAATTAATGAATTTGAATTGAATACTAGTAATATGTATGATGATCTCACCGGTCGTCAATCTTGACAATGCAAAGGACCGGTCGACAGCGGGGTGAGGTTTGGGGCGGACGGGGCCTCCATGCAGGGTCTGTGCGATTCACGCACACGGCATGCCGTACGACCAGTCAGTACGACAGTAAAGTGGTCCGCCTCACGCGCGGCGCGCGCGCTCTTCTTAACTACAAACTTACTTCTTTACTGAAATTCTTCTCCTAGTCAAAATGTAGTTTAGTATCTCGGTGATAATAAGATAGTGCTAGTGAAATGTACTGAAAGTGGATTAGTTCTGTTAATGTTACATGCTACGGTCCAAAGAACAATGCTGTGGGAAAAAATAACGTTCAGCTGGCATCGGCTGTCGTTCCCAGCTACCTACCTACCTCTCTCCCCCCGCGAGCCGGGTGCCGGGTTCAATGCGCCTCTCTGCGTTTATTCATCGTTTGTGGGAAAAGTTGACCCCCGTTTTTAAATTTCATTGTTAACGAATTCACACGATTTCGTTCTTGTAACTACCGCATCTTAGATTAGCAGATCGAAACATTCTGTGTTAATACACGGCTTAATAATTATTTTATCTGGTAACTAAAATGTATGGCACTGTGATTTAAAATTATTTAAATTCTAAAAAAACGATTGTAATTAATTGAATTCAAACGCAAGAAAAAACTAGTAGAGTAAGAAATAACCTTGACGATTATTACTACTACATTTCAAAAAACTACTATTGTTTGTTCCAAGCCTAACATGTTTGTTGAGTATCAAAATCTTCATAATTATTATCTTAGTTAGATATGGGTAGCAGTGTTATATTTGACAGAAAAGGATTTTACTTATGACGGACAACGAGTTTACACGTAAATATGGTATTGCGAAACAGCCGTTATAGTGCTATTATGTTTCTGTGTTGAATTGCATTGTTCGTGCTCCAACAAAAGTGCTTACAGAGTGAACGAAGCAGATATGTTCAGTGAATTCAATTTGTGAGGATTTTACCTAAATTGTAAAAATATTCAATATGGGTAATCAAGGATCGTCCCCGCACGAGCCTCTGGACCGTGCTCAGGTGCAGAATGCAGATCTGAAAATGGTTTGATATTTTTTTTATTTATGATATGTTATATGAAATTCTTTTCTTGTTCAGTTCATATTTTTATTTTCTTATGTCTTGGATATTAATAAGATATAATGTTTTGGAAAAAGGCAGTGGTAGTCCAGTGGTAACGCCCTCGCTTTGGAAACCGAGTGAAGCGGGTTCAAATCCCGGGTCTCGCACCTCTGACATTTTCACGTGCGAATCATTTCGACCATGATTACCACTTGCCTTACGGTGAAGTAAAACATCGTGAGGAAACCTGCATGTCTGAGAGAACCTAGCAAGATTTCGAAAGACGTATGAAGTCCGCCAACCCGCACTTGGCCAGCGTGGTGGACTACAACCTGATCCTCCTCGTATTGAAGGGAGGTCCGTGTCCAGCAGTGGGACGCTAAAAAGGGCTGAATACAATATAATGTTTTGGATGGTAACTGGATTAAAAATGCAATTAATTTTCTTCCGTGGAACTTACGAGTAACATATTGAGTGTTGAAAATTTCGTTGACATAAAAAATGTAAACAATATGAGTATAATTAAAATATCATCTGTTGATTACACATTTTTGATTGATTAATTTACTAGTCACGTATATTTATTACTTATGTTTTTACCTAGCAAATGATATTCAATTAAATAAATGAAAGATATTTTAATTAATGTCTGAAATAACATAGGTACTTGTACCACATACTTACAGAATGAATGAAATTCTTTCATGTATATATAAGATATTACTTAGCATGATATAACGAAATCCTTTTTTTTTACTCATATGTAAGTAGGTACATACTATGAATTGTTTATAAACATTGTTCAGAAACCTGGACTAAGGCTACATATTTATACTATAGTGGTTCTAAAGTCTTACTCGTTTTCTAATGTCATAGAAATTAGTCATATTGATTTTGAAAGTATGCCTTTCCGTTTCTTTGGTAGGTATTATAATTCGTCATCGAGATATAATATCACTATTGACACACAGTCGCTTACTTCTTTTAGGTTCATCTTTCATAGATGTAACTATTATTCCTAAATATCACATTTTATTTCTTAATCTTCTTTTGGCACGTTTGGAAAAAATATGAGAGTAACATTTTTATGATGCGCGCGCACATCGACAGCCAAAAAGCGACATGATGAAGTTAGCTGCATTCCTTGAGAGTTGTGACATACGGGATGAAATCTTTAGCTATTTTTGTTCTGTTACACCAAAGAAGTATAACTTCTTACGTGCTTACAAAGTAGGTACGTACACACATGTTTTTTTATAAAACTCTTAAGACCCCACGCAACGTTAGGCACCCGTTCCCTATTAAAGGTTAAAACTAAAATTTTCCAGACGGTAATAATGTTACTACTTTTCTAAAAATGATCCTTCTACTTCCCAGAAGGCCCTATAATGTGCGATCATAGCTCACTTTCTTTCATCACTATGCTTTGAGTCACATTGCAGTATTTTTATACGTTTTTTTTATTAAAATTTGGTTAGTAAACTAGTTATAAATTTAGACAAAATGTCGAAATCTCCGAAAAGTGCACGTAGCAGATATCATGGTTTGACAACGACGATATTATTCCGTTTATTATGGAGTTATCTCAGTTTTGGGGGATTGCTTAGTATTCGTACGTTTATTAAAATAAAATATTATTAAAAAATAAAAATATTACTTTTAAAGTATGTATAGTATACGTTTACGTTTTAAAGTTATAAAAAAATATAAATAGTTAATTCTTATTTTAAAAGCTCCATAAATTAATCCCGGAAAATTAGAATTCATTTGGTTGTGCATATATAGTTCTAGATACATTTTTCCTCACTACTTTTTTCGTCCAGTGGGTTTGGAGAATTTTAGCTATGACTAATGACAGACAAACGGAAACACGAGAAGTATACGCGATTCACGAGGTATGCTGTTATATAAGAGTTCTACACATTATTTGGATATTTTGATGTACTGCAATGCAAATTAGAATATAGCCAAATAGGCGTGAAAAAAGTACCTAATTATGTTTTAGGTAAATTATGGTTGTAATCTGCATCCACTAATCAAATCTAAAATTTTTTACTGAACGATATTTTTTTGATTTCTATTTTAATATCTATCTATCCTAAAATATGTATGTATTTTTAATTTTATATTATTATAATTTTTACTAGCCCACGTGTTGTTCCAAGATGTAAGATTCAAACTAAATATCATCTTCAAACTATGAATTTACATAAACCGTTGAACGTAAAAAAATAATAAACACACCCACTCACATACTTTCGCATTTTAAATATTAGTGTGAAGACACTTTCTCTTATAAGTGTAACTAGCATTGCCCGCGGCTCCGCCAGCGTTCAGATGACCAAAAATCAAAATCTTAGGTTTTACATAGTACAGTCTTACATTGCAGTTTTTGTATTTTCATCAAAACCCTCCAGTGGTTTTTCTGTGATGCGGTAACAGACAGACAGACAAAAATTCTAAAAACTATAGATTCGGCCTCTGTATCGATAATATTGTTTATTTCAATAAAATTTTCCAAAAAATATTTAATGTACAGATTCGGCTTAGTTACAATTTTATTATATGTACGGATTTATAATATAAGTCCTAGCATGTGCTACTTTAGATAACTAATTTTAGTTATTTTATTTTTGTAAGTCATTAAAAGAATGCCGCAATAAAGTTGCATGAAATGCAAAATGTATAATTATTAAAGCAGTAGAGAATAGAGATGGTTAGTAAATAACACTGCAGCGCTATAATCATCGTGTTTTTGAATTTAATGCCTCTCTCGTGTTTGTTCACGTCTGAAATAGGGTAGCGATGTAGTGGCTGCAAAATGTGGTCTTATAGAATTCACAAATTGTTATTTTAATATCTTTTTATTTTATAAACACTCTACCATATGTGGTGTACATTGGCATATTTTAAGTGTATGGAGTGATTTCCTATAGTTTTTTTTTAATTTTATTATTATTCTAGGTTTAGTATAGGATGGGTATCTGTATTCTGTACTATTATCAATTCAACTTTATAAATTAATACTTTCATTTAATGCGGTAAATTTTTTTCCTTACGAATGTTAAACCTCCATACCGCAAATCACAAAAATATAAAAGTCATCTTATGATTAGAGAAAATTAATTTATGTTCAACATACACCAGAAAGTACGAAGACAGATACATATCTTTTTTTTTAAGACGTTCAATATATAGAATGCATTGTTTCTTACAATAAATATAGCTAAAATTAAACTAAAACCATGATAGGTATTTTAAATAAAAGTAATAAAGAGTATTATAAAAATACGATTTGTAAGTGCTCCAGTAAGACGAGTCTCGCTTATTATAATCTATTAGTTCCTAATGCACGAGCAATAAAATATAGCCACCAGGAAAACGTTGCGTTCGCGCGTGCTTATGTCCATATGACGTAAATTCACATAAATAGTTATGGTTCCTTGAAGCGAACGAACGAAATATTTTATTTGATAAATATACCTATGTGTTCTATGTATGTAATCTTATCAACACCCAATGTCTTAATTTGAGGCTCTCTTAGTTTTTATATTAAAGATAATATTATGTAGCAAACATCTTATTATCAACTGCACTGCGACATTTTTCGTTTAACTCGAAGTATTTACAAATGTTAAAGCACTCAAATTCTATGTTAATCCCTCTACAACCGCGGACACGCCGGCGTGTCAGTTTGATTAACTTCTTCGAAAATCTGGAGGTGTTAATGATTTATTAATTACACAAACATGCAAATTACACATCATACAGCTAAAATGGGAATATTTTGAAATATTGTTATTCTTATTCACAAGCGTATGAAGGTCTTCTGAGAATGGCTTGCCACTCTCAGCTGCCGCCCACTGAAAGCTATATAAACAATACCTAGTCTCTATTTACCGACCGCACGTACACGAGTCCTATTTGCTTGGTACGGTTTCCTTCCATTTCTTGAGTAAACAAATGTGAAACGTGTAGGTATGAGCAGGGCAAAAGAAAATTGTAGATTTGTTACAAAACTAACAGTATGTTATGAAAGATAAGTTTAAAACTTTTTACGGAACTTTTTAATGTAGTGGGAGGAGATTGATTAATGGTAAATGTTATCAGCCGATAAAAAACCTCGGCTTTATTTTATCTCGTCTACTAAATCGTCTAATTGCTTACTTAGAAATAACAATTTTATAATCTTTGACAATTCCATTAGTTCATCTAAAGAAAGTTCGTAAAGCTAGTAATAAGTAAACAGATTAATTTATCCCACATAATAAAGAAGCAGCCGTCGAATACGTTGAAGCGTTTTTTCTAGTTTCTGTTGAGTAAGAATTTGGAATGGAGTGGAAATTTAAACAATAGTAAAAGCTTTTTAAAATTCGTTTCGATGATAATGATTCTTAAATTTTCACATAGGAACATTTTATTATATGCTATTATTAGAGGAGTAGAAGCTGTTATTTTTATATTGAAAAAAAAAAAGGATCACATTGTTTATTTACAAATTTAATTACCTTTCAACTATATATTAGTACTCCTGTAATGTCCAAAACAAACATTTCCGCATATTTTTATTGACCTTTAAATATTATATTCATATTTCAGAAGTCTTCCGTACGCAGTTCGCTAAGGCGGGCGCGCGCCGGTGCCGCGCTGTCGCCGCCGCGCGCCGGCATGGAGCGGTTGAGGCGCTCCTTCCGCGAGTCCTTCCGGCGCCGCAAGGGCTCGCCGCCCGAGTCCGCCCGCCCGCACCAATGGCACGCGGACGAGGCGGCCGTGCGCGCCGGCACGTGCACCTTCCCAGTCAAATACATGGGCTGTGTCGAAGTGTTCGAGTCCCGGGGCATGCAAGTGTGTGAAGAAGCTTTGAAAGTGCTTCGGGTAAGTGGTATTTTTTTAGTTTCTCCGTTAAATATTATATACTACCGACTTCGGTTGGGTGCGTCCCTAGATGCCAAACAGTTAGCAGCCTATGTGTTACCAAAGGTTTTTTCATTTTTCATTCAAATCTGTCCAGCCGCTTCACTGTGAAGGAGTAACCAACATTCACGCGTATACAAACTTTCACATTTATATTAATAGTACGATATAGAGCGATACACCTATTTTATGAAGCAGACAATTAAAATAAAAGGATTACTTGCATTGTAGTAGAAATAACAGTTACTAAGTGCTATAATAAAATCCTACGTATCAAGGTATTATGCCGAATAAACACGCATGAAGTCAATTGGTGTATTACCTTACCGATCTCGGAACCCTACAAGTGCAGACAAATCCTACCGTGCGTTTATGTTAAGCATATCCGCCTGTGTTTCAACGAAAGGAAAAGGAAGCTTAAATGAGCTACAAGCGATAATCATCAGAGCGTTCAGCTCTCAAAAACATTAACAAAAACCCACTTAGTGATTTCAATAACAAAAGGTGCCAGTTGGAAAAAACACAGGAAGATCTTTTTTGTTTTGCTATTAAAAATGTAGTATTTTATCAGATTACAATTTTAGTTTATGGTAAGCGATTAGTATCTACGAGTGGGATATATTGAAACTTATCTTGTTTATTATAAAGTAATTAATTACAATTTTGTAATACTTGCTAGATTATGTTATTACTAGCGACTCACCCTCTTAGCGGTTAATATAGAGTAGACTATGTATATGTAGGTACATACATAGGTATAGAAAAGTAGGTAAATACGTTAAAAAATAAAAAAAAATCCCTTACTTGAGAAAGATTTGATTCCCCATACAAACTTCCACCCCCTTAAGGGAAGATTTCCGGGATAAAAACTATCCTATGTCCTCATAGGATTTAAACTACATATCTTCATACCAAATTTCATCAAAATGGGTTCAGCAGATTAGGCGTGAAAAAGTAACAGACAGGTAAACAGAGTTATTTTCGCATTATATATTAGTATGGATTCCTACAATTATTAATTGTAATTAAATACTTATCGTGTTCTTGTAATTAAAGAAATTAAAATAGCATACCTCCTTTCCTACTCACTTCGTACATTTTTATCAGTAATAAATATTAAAATATATTTATATACAACTAAGTTTTTACTTATTATTTTATATAATTACAGAACTCGAGAAGGCGTCCCGTTCGTGCAGTTTTGCACGTTAGTGGTGACGGTCTTCGCGTTGTGGAGGAAGAAACCAAAGGGCTGATAGTAGATCAGACTATTGAGAAAGTATCTTTTTGTGCGCCCGATAGAAATCACGAACGAGGCTTTAGGTAAGTCACCTAAATAAATTTGATAGTTTCAATTCGAAATTAATCTATAAACAAAATATTAAATATTATATTAAATTATAATACCTGGAAAGGAAACACAAGCTCAGTAGGTTGTTATGAAATATTCTCGTGCAGGAAATTATTATCGCGACAAACATTTACAAAAACACACCTAATTAGTACCTACATCACAATCATAGAACGGGAAGTCTTATAATAAGCTATTTAATCTTAAAAACTGAACAGTATTTATTTACAGTCATTACTACTTTAATATTAATATTCTTATTTATTTTTATAGGGTACTCCAAATAAATATCTGTACATATAATAAAATTCTGAGCCGAATCTGCACATGAAATATTTTTTGAAAAATTTTATGGAAATTGACATTATTATCGATACAGAGGCCGAATCTATAGTTTTTAGAATTTTTATCTGTCTGTCTGTTACCGCATCACAGAAAAACCACTGGACGGATTTTGATGAAATTTGGTATATTGATAGCTGGTTATCCTTTTTTTTTTGTTGACGCTAGGGAAACCCATCATGGGGACCCTGCCCGCCGTCATAACGGGCAGGTCATAATTGCAGGATCGCTTGCGCACACAGTACAACACCACTGCATAGCTGGTTATCCGGGTCAACATATAGGATACTTTTTATTGCGGGAAAATATCTCATTTCTGAGAAATCTATACTAAACGTTAAAACGTAAGTAGGGATGAACCCGAGCGGAGCGAGGGTGAGTCGCTAGTATGAAATAAACATTATTATCGTAATGCAAATATGTGATCCACTTTGGCGACTACTTATCCACAAAATATTACATCAGTAGATATTTTTGCCTCTGCAAATTTTGGCTTTAAAAGTGGGCTATAAATTAGCCTTGTCATAGGTGATGGTCTGGCAAGGCGCCACCATTATTTCGTGACTAAACAGTTCTTATAAACATGCTTATTCCCTCGTAATAAGCAACACTAAATGGTATTTTTATCAGTATTTTATATTTTTATTAGGTATGGCTATGTAGATGATGTATCTGCATAACGATATCGTCAAGCAAACTCAACAAATTAGCACCCATTATCTTTGTAAAGATATAAAGAACCGTTCTGCTCATATAAGTTAATCCCGTTAGTGTATTATGTAACCGCGAGTCTCAGATGTGACTTCTTACCACAATCTTCCTGAGACGAAACCTTAGCAATGCCCGTACAAGCTTTCCAAGGCGACATGACATAAGTATTCTCATTGATATTTTGTACACATTGATGTAATAGATTCTTCCGTAATTTATTACGAGACTTGTATTTACAATTTTTATACGATTATTTACACATACATATTTAGCTATAGATGGTGTTCTAATAAAGATATTTATAAAGTCTTAATTCAAAGAACGGAGCCGATTTTACACTTGTGTAAGAGTAAAAACAAGTTGACGACACGTTTGGCTTGGTTTGTAGTGACCCTACTTGCTATGCCAGCGGTCGCGGGTTCGAGTCCCGATAGGGGCATTCATTTGTGTGATGAGCACGAATGTTTGTACTCCAGTGATGTGTGTTTTTATTTATAATATGTATGTATTTAAAGTTATATATACATATGTAGTGTATCAACTATCTGGTATCCATAACACAAGCCTCGTAGCTTACCATGGAACTAGATGGATCTGTGTGTTAATGTCCCGACATATTTATTTATTTTGGAGTTTTTATTTATGTATAGGCATTCATAACAAATCTCGTTTTTTACTCTACTCTTTACTATTAATAATTGTATTTATACATCATGATGATGACACATACGTTGGTGATTTAGAATACAGTTCGCACACGGGATTCTATATGCTGTCATTTCAACACGTGTTTGTAAGAATCACTTTTTACTAGATTGAATCAAATCTTGTAATTCGAAACCTTCTTAGTGCCTTATCGATCTGTAACTTTGTATTTAAAATCGTCATCACCATACCATCGAGCTAGTCTGATGATAAAGGTTTTTGCGAATGTAACGTTTTAACAGCTATTTAAAGCAGTTACACCCTCATCGGGAACAAGTTAAAGGACTTTTATAAAAAGATTATTTAAAATTATCAAAAGAAAAATATAAGATCACTAAAATGTATATTATGGTGGTTTTAAAAATGATCTAAGTAAGGAAAATTGATTTTTTTTATTGAATGCATTTAAACAAAACGAAGTCATGAGTTTTTATATCGAATTTACATAATTATACTGGTTATTATTAAAAACTTAGCAATTAGGGAATAGATTTGTACTGCATATTCATAAATAAAGCTGTTTACATTTTATGTGTCCTTGCCACAATTAAAATCGGCCATTAAATAAAAAGGCACGTTTTAGTAAATGTGAAATTAATTTTATAAAACAAAAGAATTCGATAGTTTGCGGTTTCGTCTACATAATTGTACAGTAGATCCGACAAGAGAGCGAGAAAGAGTCTATTTTTTATTTATTTTGATAATATTTATTTTCATAATTTAGTGGTAGAATCCTTACGGACCTACATACTGACATTTAATTTAAATTATGCTTGTACAAATCAATTTGAATAAAATATATTTTTAACCGCCTTTAAAAAAGGAGGAGGTTCTCAATCCGTCGGATTTTTTTTATGTATATTCACCGATTAATCGAAGACCGAAGAACCGATTTGGAAATATTTTTTTTGTTTCAAATGGGTATACACCTGGGAAGTATACCCCGACAATATTTTAAGATATGAATATCTAATAGGTAAATAAGTAAATATGTATTTTACGTATCGAAATAGGTTAGCTTTGCATCGACTGGCACCGACTTCGAAAATATCTGATTAGGTCTATCTATTCTAAATGAAAACCTCCGATTAGTTATTTTTACATTTTAGTGCCTGGAAGTCGGTTTTTATTTGTTCTTTAAATATATTTTGAATTGGTTCATTACAGCTACATCTGTCGCGATGGTACCACCCGTCGGTGGATGTGCCACGGGTTCCTTGCGTCGCGGGACAGCGGCGAGCGGCTCTCCCACGCCGTGGGCTGCGCCTTCGCCGCCTGCCTCGAGCGCAAGCAGCGGCGCGACAAGGAGTGCGCGGTCTCCATGAGCATAGACGCCGCCAGCCACGCCTTTACACGACAGGGATCGTTTAGGAAGTCGGGTAGGTTTTGGGGAATATGTTAGATATCATAATCATATACACCTTGCCTTCGTCCACTGCTGGACATAGGCCTCTCCTATGGCACGCCACTGAGCTCGATCTTCAGCTTTACGCGTCCAACCACTTGTCAGCCAGTTTACGTATATCGTCGCTCCATATGTTATATATATGTACTCACAGACTTTAAAATGGCACCGACTTCGAAAATATCTGATTAGGTATCTATTCTAAACTAGCAGAACCCGCGGTTTCGCTCGCGCTAAAACTACAAAAAAATCTCTAAAAAGGGAGTTTCATACAAACTTTCATTTCCTATTTTACCCCCTTATAGGATGAATTTAAATTTAAAAATTTCGAAAAATGCTAAAACACGTATTTATTTAATTTTATTGAAGAGCATTAATACCAAGTTTCAAGTAATTCTGATCATAAATATTTTTTTGGATTGTATTATAACTTGTTATCTCATTAGAATTAGATAATCTCCGGCGGTAGTAGCCTATGTCACTCTCCAGCCCTCCAACTATCTCCACACAAAAAATCACGCCAATCCGTTACCCTGTTTCGACGTTAAAGAAGGACAAACACACTTTCACATTTATAATATTAAGTATTAACCAAATATGTACGGTCAGTAAAAATATGCAATTGATGATCATTATGTGTGTGTGTGAGTAGTTCTTTTAATTCGTACGCTCGCGATTTTCCAATGGTTAGACCACACCGTTTATTAGGTTAGATTTCGGACTCGCAGATGTCGTAGAGATGTGAGGCTTAAACCTTCACTCTGCTTCCAAAACGAACTGATGAGTTACTATTGCTTTTTAAAACAATTTCGAGCAGTAACTACGAGTATGTCTTTTTTTTTAACGTTGGGAAATGCATTTACGCACGACGTGTGGGACTCACCGGCGTAATACAGCCAGTACTACCCACTAAAACCCAACAAAACCTTCCCCCGTCTTAATGGGGCGTCGCAGGATCGCTTACGCATTCAACTACGACGCCCCGACGGCAGGTCTGCCAAAGCAGACACCACAACCATGGGGTTGCTCCAAGGTCCACTCTGCTATCAGAGAAGTACCAGGAGCAACCCGCAAGGTACACCGCCCCCCTAAGAGGGCCACCTCCCACCGCCCACCGAAGTGGGCAACCTCCCTGTGCGTTTCTTAGCTTCGCTACTGCTTCTAAGCCCCCCCACCACGACAAGGTGAACGCACGTTGGGGGGGACGAGTATGTCTCAATTATGCTCTAGCGAGAACAAAACGAGGCACTTATTTACTTACAAACTTTCATATTAATACGAATACTGGTATTACTGTTTAATATACTGTATTCGACTTAAAAGAAATACAATAAAATTAGTTTAGAAATAGTATTATAAAGCAACCTAAATAGCCTTAGTAATATACAACTATTGTCTTTTTAACTGATATGGTGATGATTTTTTGTAGTAAAGCTTCTTTACGCACGCTTGACTTGGGAGGTAAGCTGGTGAATGCATGAAAGTGTAAATCGGGCGAGGCGAACGTTTGTTGCCATGGTAACCGTTGTTATTGTCTGACAAAGGATATACATATTATATTTCTCGTAATATATTCTTTCCTTAAATGATATTCTATAAATATATGATTGTAATATGCCTAATATGCGTTATTTTCAGTAGCTCATCTATCCCAATTATTTAAAACATAAATTGAATTGCATAAAGGGCACTGATAACCTACAGAAGTTTTACTTGTTGCGCGTGTTCACACACACACATTCACAACGCACTCTTAATTTTTTTTAATGATATACGTATACTGTGTACAGGTATAACGAGCCGGCGCACGTCGGAGGCGGAGGCGCCGCCGCCGGCCGCGCCCGCGCCGGCGCCGCGCGCCGCGCACAACCCCTTCGCGGTGGAGCGCCCGCACGCCGCGCCGCACCTGCTCGAGCGACAGGGCTCCTTCAGGGGATTCGCACATCTTAATAACAAGTTAGTTGTTACTAAACTTTGAATAGAATAGCTGTTGATTGCACCAACCAATAGCTTAAAATGGCACACTCGCTAACTAAACAGATAATTTAATTCTGACAATGTTTGGGGGATTGGCACTATATGCCGTAATACAGGTCTCCTAGTACGGCAACAGAGACAACCGTATTATTTGTATTGATAATTTAAATTGTTTGTTTCAAATTGTACTGTACTATAATATTAGGCTTTTCAACTACAATATGTATTGTATTTTTCTGAAATAATGTATTATTATTATCAATAAAATAGAATAGTATTCTATAATGATCGGAGTAGAATAAACTTTATTTCTGATACACACTACTACGGACACATAAACAACAATAAAAAACTTTGCTAACTTTTATGTCTCCTTTTATAATGTCGTTGAAATAGTATTGATAAATTAAAAAAAAGTATTTTGAAATACTATCTCAAATTCTGTCATTCGGCTTAGGCTGAATTTATTTTTCTCTAAATAATGTGCCATTTTTTATTTAGGTTTTTGATAAGAAAGTAAAAATTTATTAAATTATTTTATTTATAAATGAACAATAATATAGTTATACTTCTTTTGGCACGTTTGGAAAAAAATATGAGAGTAAAATTATTACGATGCGCGCGCACACCGACAGCCAAAAAGCGACATGATGAAGTTAGCTGCATTCCATTTACAAACAAAGAGTTGTGAAATCGGGATGAAATCTTTAGCTATATTTGTTCTGTTACGCCAAAGAAGTATAACTTCTTACGTGCGTACATAAGTACATACAAACACAGGTTTTTTAACTATGATTCATTCAATCACAATCGTCTCATTTTCTAGCTCTCCGTTCAAACGACAAATGTCGCTCCGTATCAGTGAGTTGCCCTCCAACCTGGAGCGGCAGCGCCTGGGCCTGGGCTCGCCCACCAACAACATGCCCGCGCTCCCCGCGCTCCCCGCGCCCCCCGCGCCGCCCGCGGTGCCCGCCCTGCCCGCGTCCAACCCGTTACCAGATGTTGCGCCTTTAGAGGTATGTCCAGGTTATTTTAATCATATATGTATACATACTTCTATCGTGTATGAAACTTTGTATGTGGAATCCGGATGCAATACAATTCAAATTCAAAATGCTTTATTCAATATCGGTATATTAGAAACTAGCTTATCATTTTTTTTAAAACTCTAGTTCGGAAATAAATGTCTCGGTCCTAACACTTTAAGATAAAAATATTTTACCTAATTCGCCAATACATTATCGATGTAAGCGCAACTAAACATCAGTTAGAAAATTAAAAAAATTGAATTGATAATAAATAATATGTTCAAAGCGTTATAACATATGCATATTATTATGTGATCAGGATACGCCCGAGCCGGACCCCGTAGCGGAGATGTGCCAGCAGCTGTCGTTGGGGCTGCGCGCGCTGGCGGAGGAGCCGGTGCCGGCGGCCGGCGGCCTGCCGCACCCCGACGCGTGGCTGGGCCGCGTGGCGCGCGCGCCGCCGCTGGCCGCCGCCGGCCGCGCCGCCTCCTTCGCGGGGCATTCCGTCGCCGCGCACGCGAGGACCACCAACCCGTTCCTGGCGTCCGTGCCCGCGCCCGCGCCCATGTAGGACCGGGATACTATTGTACCTCACTACCGACCATTAAGCGACCGCGCCGGTGTAGGAGAAAGGGATGATTATGTACACCTGTTTACAATTCAAGCGATGTAAGTTAGCCAGCTCGAAGTTAAAGATTTAATAATTATAACAAGAAAAATTCCGGCGAAAAGTATTTCAGTTCAGTCTGGTTACCTTAAATTATGCGTATTGTATATAACGTTGTATAAAAGCAATTGACAGCAAAATTTGATGACGTTATGGGAATGAGGTACTGGAAATATGAAATATTTCACAGAAATGAAACTGATAGAAAATTAACGCGCGACAACATTGCGACCACGAGTATATTGTCAAATGAGGAGAACATACATACAGAAAAGCAAGTGCATTTAAATGCCATATTTATTATATCATGCTTAATACTTAAATATGTGAATTTTGATTTAAAATTTTGAAAAAACAAAAACAAAGTTGTAGGCGTTTTAGCATTTCTTATGTTAAAATCCTCAACTAGTGAGCTTAAACTATAAACAATTAAATTACAATTGCTTGATGCAGATGACTTTAAAATAAAAACACTAACGCTTAGAATATCTGCTCAAAAGATTCATTACAGGAAAGTTCGCGCACGACGCGGTATGGGACTATGTTAGTTTATTAAAAATTATAATGCCATTTTGCAACTTAAGGCCAAATTATAATCTAATAAGGAAAAAAAATATCAAAATATATGACGACGAGACGATCCGCGCCATTTTTCTAAAACATTTGATGCTAATTCTAATTGTTGTGTATGCACTCTAAGACTGCAAATTATTTTTTACACTAAGATTGTCTCCTTATAATTTAATGCATTATGCAACGATGAAAATCCGATCCTGCGATATCGTTACTAACTACATATATATGTGAGAGATTAGTTTTTCTGCGGCAATTCAATTTTTCTGTTTTAATGCTACATTCGTGCTTTTAATATATTGGTGTTGTTGACGTTACATAAAGGTCATATATTTTTATTAAGTAAAAGTATATACAATAATTGTATGTATATACAATAATTGTATGTATATACAATCATTGTATCGTTCCATACGTAAAAATATTTAATGCTCATATGTTCAATGCTATTTTTTGAAATTTAATTAACGAAGAGCGTCCACCAGTCACTTGTTTATCGAAGACATAATATGTAGTCGTGTATCCTTATAATGTAAGGCTTGTAGTTGATGGTGTTGACATTTGAGCACATTCGTAATCTTGCACGCCGCGAGGCACTTACCTATTAATTAGAGAAATATATTAAATAAGTATTTTCGAAACGAACGCCGATTTTGGTGCGAGCAACTTTGACTACTATATCTTAAAAATATATTTTGATTCAATTTTATCACAAATAATAAATAGTCAGGCGATGTAATTTTCGATGATTCTACATTAACTGTTTCTGTAATTGTCACAATGAGAGATACATGTTAGAGTATTGTGTATGCTGTACTTAAAGCCCTAAAGTTCCGCACTGAGCTTTGCGCAGCACCTAGTGTATACGTAAGCTAAGACTCCCGCGCCATTCGTCCAAGGACAGTATTACGGCATTGTTCCGACGATAGCGTCACGAACAAACGGACAATGCAATATTCTATCCGACAAACTACGTACTTGTACTATACTTTTGGATACGTTTATTTTCCTTTTTTTTATGTATATTATTGTAAATTTTTAGGATACATATTACTATATTTGTGAATCTGTTTTGTTTATATTTTTTATATGATTAATGTCATAGGTGGAGATGTTTGATCGAACAAATTGTAATATAGTTTGTATTTCAGGGCACGTATTTTTGTGTGGCGATTCTTAATCTAATGTTAATTAGTTACTGGAAGGTTTTTGTTATTTTTTGTAGGTAGGTAATTATTAAAGGTGACTTCTAATTGTTACTGTTGCATAGCAAAAACAAAATGAGGACTTGAAGTAAGCATTGATTGAAGATTTAACTTTGCCTCGATTTGTCTAAATCATGATTATCAGTCAGATGTAACCTGCAGACTGTATTTATTAAAGAAATCTTGCTAAAGAGCCGATGTACTTACATATATACATTCAATAAAACCTCTTTTTGTTGCAAGAGAAAAGCACAAGATAATTATTGCACAACAATTGTTGCACTCTACATTCCACTAAACCCAATATTCACAAACTGACTAAACCTTTAACGCATATCACTAGTTAGTGTCTCAGTTTCTTAATTTCTTATTATTAAGCTTTCTGATGAGTACTTAATACTTTTGTTACATTTTAATTTGGTACTTAAAAACTTGTATTTTTACAAATAAGTTCTTTAAAAAAAAATCAAAAATATCCACAACCAATATTAAAATATAATTAATAAATGTTGTTTGGTGTTTTGAAAAGTATTTAAATGGTAAATGCACTTAATAGTAATCTCGCACGCATATATATCTAAAATTGGCGACTTTATAAAATACGCTTCATATTAATGTTCTGTAACTAGACACTATATACTAGCTTAATCGGATAAGTACTTATTTCTTTAAACAAGGCATATTTTCTCGTGTACTTTTTTATTTGAAAATTATCGGACATGTTGTACTTAATATATCAAATCAAAATCCAGTTGTTTGAAATTGTTGAATGTTATTTTGTATATTCTTCTGAATTTATTTTTTTGTCTAAATTATAAAAAGCATGTACATACCAGGAAATATATGTAGATATTTTAGATAACAAGAGTTCAAATATTATAAAGAGTAATAAATATTATGGTTAGTTGATTTTTTTTTAATTCTTTTTTTTACCCTTTCTTTAAAAAAATAACACATATAACCTACGAGTCATTACATATAGTTAATTAAAATTGGGTCTAGACCAAACTCAAGACTTGGTCAAAGTGACATTTAGATACGAGAACAAGTTTTATATTATTAATAAATCGCATCAGTTTTTTAATTTTGATTGTATTGAAAGAAAGTTACATCTTATAGGTTAAATTTCTTTGACTCACTACAGTTCTGTATGATAAGAACCTTACGCTCAGATAGTGGTAGATATAATTATGGCTTCATACGAAAAATGTCAAAACGGTGGTAGTCTAAAATTTATCACTATCAAATTCTCGTAGAAAGAATAGTTGGGTTTGTCGCTATCATTAAAAAATCCGTTGGGAACTGTAGGCTAGAACGGCTTACAATTAAAGAAGTACCTATAGTTATGACAAATTAATCAATAACATAACATGATCCTATGCATTATAGTAAATAAAAAAAACTTACTTTTTGATTGAAGGGGGCACCGAGCTTTTTATTTTAGTAGGGCGACAGCGGCCGGGGGGGAGGGGGGGTCTAGGATGGACGGAACGCGTGCGAAATTAGGTATGTCCTTCGTATTATTAAAACAAATACACATTTTGAAAATGTAACGTGTATGCGTTATAGGAAACTTATAGTTTTATTATTATTAAAAAACTGATGAACTTCCTTGAATTATTTACGCCGCACTAAGGGTTTATTTTGTTTTTAGAGGTCATTTTGGATTTTTTTCTATCGAGGAAACTACAAGTGATCGTTTCTAAAGTGTATGTTTTATAGAATATATCCTTAAATATCCTACATATTAATTACATAATTAAAGTTTTAGTAATAACAATACGGCAAGGGATCAAACGAACGCAATTATTTCGTAATTGTCTCGGTGCGCCCTGAACGCCGACGTCAAAGTGCGCTTTGATTGCTCGTTTACACAATGAAAGTATTCATCAAAACTACTTTGTCATTTAGGCTTTGAGAAAAGTAGAACAGATCCAATGATCAAAGTTGCGTCAAAGTAGTAATCAAAACTAGTTTCTTAAAGTAGACTTTGATCGTGTCAACGTGGCTTTGTGCACACTACATACATAAATCAAATTGTAAAAGAAAAAAAAAGCAAAAGTATCAGAGGTCGCACTTGGTGAAGATGTTGGGAAATGCATTACGTATACCACATGTATACATACAGGTGGTCATGTAGGACTCACCGGGGTTACTCGCACGAACTGCCGTCGGAGAAGTACCAGGAGCAACCCGCATGGTACACCGCCCACCGAAGTCAGCCACTTCCCAGTGCGTTTCTTGGCTTCGCGCCTGGCTGAATTGCCGGACGCTAATGAGGTCCCTCACTACGACCATGACAATGAACACAGATCAGGGAGATTGCGGGCTTGGTGAAGTAGTATTCGAGGTGGCATAAAATAAAACAGATTATGGGTTCGCTGCACCACTTTATTTATACACGAATATATCAACGGCATAAACTTCAGTGCCTACGTACTACCTAAACAACGTAACTATTGTCTGTTATTTACCTATACAATAAGTTTAGTGATTGAGAAATATTTACTTATCATTATAATAATACATATACATAAATGACAGATTTATTACTTCTGAGCAACGCGACGGGCGCGCTACTCTTGCCTGGATACAATAATAATCATCTTCCTACATATTTATGACTAATTTTGACTACCAATTTACAAATATATAAAACTAATTTGATATATTTATTACATTAAATTTTTATTTTCACTACAAGCAAATAATATTCATTTCATATATTTTAGACTCGCTTAAACAGGTAAGTCGAATATAAGAGTTTAGAGAACATGTAAATCTATTTCTCACATTTAACATATACAACAAACAGTCCCATAAACAGACAATATTCGGATATTTAATTGTTTAAACACACAGTACATAAAGCATTAAGATTCTCTACGTAGTAGCAATGAGGTGACTTTATATATACCAAAATATGAAAGAAAGATTCAAAAAATCCTAAAAGAAAAGTTGTTATTGTATTTTTAACAACTTCGCAATATCTGCTTTGGTATGTTGAAAAAAACGACCTACTGCTACCGTGGTATGTAGGAATGTCTTTCAAAATGCATCAAAAAGTTCACAAAAACTTAACTTATAAATAAAGGCCTTAAAAATTATAACATTTTAACAAACAAACGAACTTCTTAATAATTAATAAGTGTAGCTAAGTAGTGAAACTTGCGTTATATGAATATGGTACATATATTATTTTATATTTATGACATAGATGCATTTCTCTCCCCGTGAACTGTGAGCGGAACACAAATACATGACTAGTACTATAATAATGTCACAATTTAAATTCATATGCAACATATGCTTTTAAGACACGCATAAAACAAATTTTAAAAAAAGCTATACAAAAATCTTTACGAGCAAAATAAAATATCACATTTTGTTTAACAATAAATAAAACGATTTGGATTAAAAGTTTAAATAGTTAATTTAAAGTATATAAAATATAAATCATTCTCGCCATGAATATATTATGTTAGTGTATAATCTTAGAAATATTTTTAGAGATTGAGATCTAAAATATAATAAATTACGCTCGTCTTACATTATTAATACTGGCATTTCATAAAAAAAGAATATCAACTTCAAAATAAAAACGATATTATAAGCTTTCCTTAAATTTTATCAAATCATTTCATGCACATAAATTATACATTTTTTATAGATCTTAATATTATTAAAAAAAAAAAAAACAAACTGCCCACTATTTGTACGATGCCGTTGCTAGGAGCTTAACGTGGTTATATTTTAAACTTACGTAAATTAAAAAAAAATGTAATTCCGCTAAATATTCTAAAACTAAGAATATCACTCGATATAAAAATAATATGCCAAAATATGATTATTTAAAGTTACTCCATTTCTCTAGTCTACTAACATCTCGCAATTCGCATGTTTTTATTCATTTAATTTGAATAAGTAAAATAAGTAGCCAAGTGTCACCAACAACTTTATAAAATATAAATTTCATACAAGCAAGGCATTGTCTTCGTAAGCGTATAAATAGCTAGTAGTAAAGGCTACTTCATATGAACGACGCCGCATAAAGTGGCATTGGGTTTTGTTATTATTTCTAAGAATTTAGTTCTTATTCATATTAAATAGACAGTATGTATTATATTTAGCCCTTCTTTAACGTCCCACAGCTGGGCACGGGCCTATCTACAATATATATATTGTCATAATACCGTACGTCCGTGTCGATAATTTCATTAATTTTGCTAAACGGGTGCGACTTTATTTTCTCATATTTTTCTATTTACCTATAAAACAGGAAGTGGAGTTCATATATACGAATTTTCAGTAATAAAATATTTACAGAGATATGAGATATTGAGTGTATTAAAATTAACAAAACATCATCATCATATTTTTAGTTTATACATTTATGATTTAATTATTAAACGGTAAAATATAGCAGTTTAAAAATATAATAAACGTCTTTTAAATACGATAAATTGAATACTTTAATCAATGTAATATATAAAATTTACTAAATGAACTTAAATATAATATTCGATTTATTTGATTTACAAACAAACAAAACAAATTGATTATTTTTATTGCATATAATAATAATAATAGTAGATTTGTTTCATGATTTGATATTAAAGTCAAATCTTACAAACAATATGCAATAAAAAAATTAATAATATAATACATTGTGTTGCATACTTAGATAAAAAATACTTATTTGATGTACTTTTATAAAAAAAAACAGTACATATATACATTTTGACAAGATGCAAGCATAAACATGTAGTGTGGTAGTGCAGGATTATAGGGAGGGAATTATATCATGTTCTTTGCACACACACAGTTTCCACGTAAACAGTTAAATAATGTATATGGTATATAAACGCTTTCACACGATACCGCTATATTTCTGCTGTAAATCTTTTAAATGGAAACCATGTATGTGCGAGTGAGGACTGTTGGTGTGGCACCACAGTCTACTAATCCATACAGTCGTCTAACGACGGTGTCTAGACAGAGTAACTCTTGCATTTGAGAGAATTTCTGTTAAAATCAGAGACGCTTACTGTATGGATTTTAATGCTGTGGTAGCAGGTAGGTAGAAAGTGGTGATGAGTGGTGATGAGTGGTGGTGGTGGTGGTGGTGGTGGTGGTGGTGGTGGTGGCGGTGGTGGATGTACGTGGTTCACTCGTTGGCCTGTATCTGGTCGTGGCAGCGGCGGCACACGCGCACGGGGCGCAGCGCGCGCAGGCGGCGCACTGGCGCCTCGTAGCGCGAGCAGCGCCCGCAGAACACCGCGCCGCACTCGCGGCAGTGGTGGCGCCGCTCCAGCGCCGTGAACCGCACCTGGTGTTCATTTTATATATATTTCATATTTATTAATATTTGACATTTTTAACCGACTTCCAAAAAGTAGGAGGTTCTCAATTCGTCGGAATGTTTTTTTTATGTATGTTCACCGATTACTGGAACACGCCTGAACCGATTTGGATTTTTTTTTGTTTCGAGGGGTATACTTCCCAGGTGGTTTTTTATTTATTCCATTTAAATTTTACCGAAATCGGTCGAGCGGTTTTTAAAAAATCTACAAATAAATATTTTTTTAAATAAATAGCTTAATCGAATATGTATTAAAAAAATTTGTTCTTACAAATTACCTGCTGATTATGTCTTAACTAAAAATGGGAAAATAATTTTTTTTTTAAAGTTTTTATAAATAAAACTATCAATGGAGAGACTTTCTAATGAACATGATTGTTATAAAACATTCAAAATATTGGGAATCAAAAATGAAAGTAAATCCAAAAAGATAGTTTTATTTAATATGTAATTGTTTATTCATTACATTTGTGTAAATCGTATAGGTATAATTTTTACGACGTTAGATAAGTGAAATGAAATCAAATGCAATTAACCTACTATACATTAATCAAACGTACTATATTGATACTAGATTATAATAGTGATGTAACATAAATCAAATTAATACGAAAAAAATATAATCAAATTTTCAAAGTTTACACTTCCGGAAGGAACATCAAAAGAAATATAAACTATAGAGATTGTGCTTACGTTACTAATGAAAATGATCGATAAAACATCAAAAGAGCCTTGAGAGTTTACTATAGGTATACACTATATAGCATATAACTCACTTGACACTGTGTACAGTAGGGCGCGGTGTCGTCCCGTATCCAGTGGTCGGCGGGCCCGCCCTTGGCGCCGGCCGCGCTCGTCATGTCCGGTGCCGACCATCGGAATATCTGTGAACCGAATATTATATATATAAAACAAAATCGGGTTTGTTTACAACACATAACTCTAGAGCCGCTGGACCGAAAGTGTTATTTTGAAAGTACTTTCAATATTTTTAATAATTTGTTCATTATTGCTTTTGAATAGTTAAATAATGCATATTAAATAAATATAATCAAATGTATATTTTAAAAATGAACGCCCATTCTTTTTCTAACAATCTCCCCCACATATAATAAACGAGTAGTGTATAGTAGATATGTTTGCTCACCCGTCCCCTGGCGTCGCCGACGGCGAGCCCGCGGCCGCTGCGCGCCGCCGCCACGGCGGTGACGGAGGCGGGGCACGCGTTGTCGCGGCGCTCGTACGCCGTGTGCATGGTGAGCTTGCCGCGCAGCACCAGGCGGCGCGTCCACGTTATACCTGTGTCTGGTGTTAGCATACACATTACTAACGGAAAAACAAAAACAAATCTATCCCACGGGAACCGTACATTTTTCCGGGATAAAAAGTAGTCTATGTGTTATTCTGATGTATGAGCTATATTATTGTAAAGTTTCATCAAAATCCATTCAGTAGTTTTTAATATTTGGTAACTGTTTTGAAATCACAGACAGATTTTTTAATTTTATTTATCAATACAGATACAATATAAACTTCAACAGGGTCGAATCTGAATATTATAAAAGAAAATAATCATAGTTACGAAAAACGTATATCCCTATTTTTAAAGATACTCTTTAAATAAAAATGAAATATTGTTCTAACGCCTGAACGGACTTGGATAAAATTTACTACACGGATGACTAAGGCCTGATTTAACACACAGGCAACATACACAATTATTAGGCACCTAGGGGCTAGGAACGTACTCAGGCAAACCAAAGGTAAATCGCTATACTCTGTTCACGGAGTGAACCATGATAAGCGCTTTCTCTGTCCCACATTAGCATACAAACTGATAGGGACAGAAAACTGCCTAGCTCCGCCCACTAACACTTGCAACTGGTTTGAAATCATAGGGGTCGTTCTTGTTGCTAATGCTCTAGTAAGGAATTATAAATAATTTGTAATAAAATAAAATTTACATACAAATAAAATCAACATTAAAGTAAAATAAAATCAACATTAAAGTAAACTCTATTTTTAAATATTTATATACATTATTAATTTTCACTTTCCAACGTATCACTGCCATCTCCTACATTGATAATAAATGAGGTAACTACACAAGAAACGTCTGAACGGTACGGAACGCAACGACGGACTAATTATGACTTGCACTGTAACCGCGATCTAAGCATCTTATCTGCAATTAATCACGTGGGAGCGCAAAATTTCAATGCTTGGTTCATTCGGCGTATTCAGTATAGTACAATATATACCTGGATAAGAAGTATCTTTAACGACAGGTCGCGGCGTGGGCGCGGGCGCGGGCGCGGGCGACGCGGGCGCCGACAGCACCACGAACGAGTCCGTGAGGCTCGTGTCCGACTTGCTCGGCCGCAGCCCGCCGCAGCCCTCCTGCGCCTCCATCGACTGCATCGTTTCCACCGAACTCGGCTCGCTGGAATCGCCTATGCTTCCGCCACCTGATCGGGTTATTTAGATTTTATAAGACGTTGTTACTGGCTAAATTTCAATAATATTATTTTATTGTAATCTTTTACAATAAACCTGGATTTAGACAACAGACCCATTTAACGGCTCCAATTATAGCTAAGAACCATCCAGGTGACCCCAAGAGTGCACAAACATTTTATATTAATTCAGTTAAGCCACACAAATGCAAATAAGATATTTAACATCTGAATTTTATATTTAATATAAACTACAATATAATTCTTTATTACCAATATTGGAGTTTATTTCAAATTTGGAGTTAATTGTCTTTATCTACTTATAACTATTGAAATATGAGCTAATATACCTTTTGATGAAAGAGGACAAAAAGGCGTTTACTAATTCGTGCTCTTTGGTAACAATTTACATCATATTAATTAAGACAAACTACGTAAATACTGTCTAAAAATATGAAAACATTAAAACTTACTCTTCCGATACAAGGGGTTCGCTTTCGACTTGCGCCGTAGCACTACGTTGCCTTGTTTATGCAATTTGCTTCTATGTGTTACATTCTCCTTTTCATCTTCTAGATCTTTCTCATTATCATATTCTTCTTTAGTCTCTTCACAGGAGTCTATATCTTCTTTTTGCTCGTAGTGTTCATCTTTGTCGCTGCACGTGTCCTTCTCGTCGTGTCTTCGTGCAGATTCTTTGGCGCTTGTTGTTTCCCCTGCATCGGAAAGCGAACTCTCGGATGCTGATTTTACTAAATTACCTGTTCATTTATAAGTTTTAAAATTTGCGTCTAATCAATAATATTAATTTTTGTGACATCATCCTACATTATTTTTAATTCTTTCCAATAATTTAATATATGAAAATGAAATTAATATATGTATATGGGAACTGAGAACTATGATTTGAATACAGCACTATTTAAAAGAAAATGGCGGAGAGGGCTAATGTCAGCTTCAACAGAAAAAAGTTTAAATCACTTTAATATAAGAGATAAAAAGTGATGAGTACGTAAAGTGTTTATTTAATGTTTCTCCATGAAATGGTAAAATATGTAAAAATAAATTTGAAGCTTTCGTACATAATATTAATTAAAAAGTTAACGATAATACCTTCATGTTCCTGTGACAAGCTCATTTGTTTAACTAACTCCTCGACTCGTTTAATAGCCGCCTCCCTTTCACACGGCTCTATATCTTCAGTCTTTACTTCACTCTCGGACTTGATCTCTTCACTGTCTTGCAATGTAAGCGATGGTTCATATTTCAGTTTATCATTGTCTAAAGAGCTAGGTGCTTGATCTTCACTATCTACTTCGGAGCTCTTTGCTTCATCTTCTACAGTTTTCGCTATGTAATCGATCGACCACATCTAAAGAAAAAATGTTTTTAGACACATTGTTATTTACCCGATTGCGCTACGCATAGGAGGGTAATGTGTTTATTAGTCTATGTATGTATGTATGTATGTTTGCTCGTATGTGGCGTTCTAGAGACCACACGCGTGGACTAATTTTGTTGAATCATACGACATTAGATTCGCCTTGCTATGCGAGAGGCTATATAAAAATAGTTAAAAATTGAAACGGCAGATTTCAGGAGCCTATTTGTGTTTTTAAAAAATTAACCGAGTGGGGCATCAAAATAAAGATTTTTGAGAGGCGATCATAAAAATATATGCAACTTATATTATGTTTAAAAGTAATTTAGGATAAAAAATTGCTAAATATTACTTCAAATGTCTAATTAGCAGAAACTAAAAAGCAGTAAATACAAAAATATATTATAAAATTTAAAAAAAAACAGACTACATAAAATTTAACTAAATAGATAATAACAAGTTCACGAAGGAATATAGTATTATGCAGTCGTTAGTTAAGGGGTTACTTCTTAGGTTTGAATTTATTAACTTAACTTATTCATTAAAAACAATATTTGAATTATGTTTCCATTTGGCGATGATATCGCGTAACTTAAACCCGAATTTAAAGCGTCTACTTATCTGAAGTTGGTCAACTGTCGTATAGTTTATCTTCAAATCCAATCAAAACTACTAACAATTATATGATAATTGATCAATTGACATAATTTTATGAGCTGTCAAAACGCGATCCTCCACAGATTTTGTATAGCAATAGAACTAAAACTGTTGTTGTCACTTATATTATGTCAACACAATTGACAAACATACTCACCCTGACAACACCATCTGTGGAGCCAGTGATGACGACATTGAGCGGGTCCCACTCGCGCGTCTGGCTGAAGGCCACGCACAGCGCCTGCGGCGCGCGCTCGCCGCCGCCCGTGTCCACGCCGCCCAGCGCCGCGCCGTTGATGGACCACACGTGCAGCCAGCTGCCGCTGCACGCCGCTATGTCGCCCTGCACAGTGCACGCACGTGCACGCTCATGTCACACACGACTGTTATGTATGTATATATTAGCTAGTATGTAATATGTAAGTACATACAGTGAGGTCGTCAATAGCGAGCGCGGAGACCGGCGGCGGCGGCGCGGGCAGGCGCGCGGGCACGAGCTGGCGCACGAAGGCGCCGCGCTCCACGTCCCACACGATGACGTGTCCGTCGCGGCTGCCGCTCACGGCCAGGTTGTAGGCGGCGCTCGCGGCCAGGCACGTCACCGCCTCCTCGTGCCCGTACAGGCACGTCTTCACCGTCAGGCGGCGGCGGCGCGCCCAGTACTGCCACACTGTTACCACCTGATAACCAAAAATCCCTTCTTAGAGCACACTTACAACATTTAAATCGGTCAATTTCTTACTTTATATATGTGTGTATGTATTCAGCCTTTTTTAACGTCCCACTCTGCTGGGCACGGGCCTCCCTTCAATAAGGGGAGGATCAGACCATAGTCCACTACGCTGGCCAAGTGAGGTTTGGCGGACTTCACATGTCTTTCGAAAACTTATTAGGTTATCTCAGATATGTAGGTTTCCTTTCACGATGTTTTCCTTCACCGTAAGACAAGTGGTAATCGTGTTGAAAATAATTCGCACATCAAAATATCAGCGGTACGACGGTACCCGGGATTTGAACCCACTTCACTCAGTTACTCAAGCTAGTGCGTCACCACTGGTCTACCACTACCTCAACTACAGTTAAATGTAATATACTTATATATTTCATTACTAATTAATGTGTGTGTTAAGGATCATAAAACTAATTAAATGAAGTCGACTATTTGCTCATCTAACAATATCACATAAATGCCAATACTACAAATATATGTTAACATATTACGTGACGTCATATTTTTTCTAATTAATTAACCCCCGACGCAGAAAGAGGGGTGTCATAAATTTGACCGCTATGTGTGTGTGTGTCTGTGGCACTCTAATTTTAAACGGGTGAACCTATTTGGATGCGGTTTCTTTTTTATTTGGAAACAGGTTTTCTAGCGGTGGTTCTTAGATATGTTTTATAGAAATCAGCTTAGCCGTTTTTATGTTGAGGTTTTAAAAAAATTAGTAAATAAAATTTGTGGATTTTTTTAATTTACCTCCCTTATTTTTTATTTTATAATCTTAAAAAGCAATTCTTGTACATGTATAAATTTAATTCGTGTATCTCGATTCGCATTACATTTTGTTTTTAGATAAGGTTATACTTTTTAAGTTATCTGTATAGCTGTCTTTTCTGAAAAAAAAAACACTTTTCATATATTTTTTGAAAAAATACAAAAAAAAACGCCGGGCGAATTCGGTTGCCTAGGTACCTTTATATTATGCAACAAAATATATATATATATAAAAATAATATTGTATCATGTGTAATGCCAAGTCGATTAGGAATCGGAAAAATTATACATATATATACATATACATAAATGCCAAATATAACCAATACACGTTTTCCTTATTAAATTTAATATAATAATTAAAAAAAGCCAACTCACAGTGCTCGTGCCAGCCGTCACAATGGTCTTGTCGGAGAGACAGACGCAGGTGACGATCTCGCCGCACGCCTGCGCCACGCTCTCGCACACGAACAGAGTTTTATCATTATCGTAATTGCCGATGCGCAGCGAGTGGTCCGCGAAGCCCCACGCCACGTACTTGTTGTATGCGGGAGGCATTAGCACTTTGTTTTGCTCTACAGCTAATATAGCTTTATCTGTATACAATATTTGCCCGACTGGCCCCTTGACTTCTAAAAAATAGGTAAAATCATTTTTTTTTATTGGAACACAAAACTTTAAAATAATGCTTTATGAAGGGTTCAAATTTTTAATGACCGACTCTTGCTTTACATAGAGGAATAATGAACGCACATCAAGTAGTTGTACTTTAGATATATTAAGCCAATTAAAATTACACTATGCCTTTAAATTGAAATCTTATATAAAATGTATAAAATCAACTCATGATAAATATAATATGAATGAAAATAATAAATAACTAGTTTACCTTTTACAGGTTGCAATGATGGCCTCAAATTTTCTAAATTATGGAAGAATAATTTCTCAGGCGGCGTAATACCTTGTGAAGGTATTATATTGTTAGGGTCCAGTATGGTTGAGCTCCGTTGTGACATTTTCTTACTTGGATGTGCTTTTTTAAATAATTGTTTGGGTATCTGGCCGAAGTTATTTATAAACCCTATCGTTGCATTCTTCTTTAATGGGTCATCAATGCTAAAAATAACGAATTTAAACTTTGAATCATTATATTAAATTTGCTAATAAAGTAAGAGTATATAATTGATAAGTAAATGCATTATGTTGCATACTAGTCAACCCGGGAGACGTTGTCCTGTCCAAATTATTTTTTTTTCAGATTGCAATCTTTGAGTTCACACAAAAAATCTATAGAAAATACTGTCAATTTTCTCGAACTTCCAAATTTTATGGGAAACTATTATAATTTTTTCCCAAAGAAACCTTATATACCGATCACTACAAGATCCAAATAATTTGAGAGTGAAAGGAATACAAGTGCACATACATATACTTGTGTACAGTAATTGTTGAAATATGAACACAGACCTTTATATTGTATGGTGTATTTTATATATATAACTAACCTCCTTGTATATTTACATATATTTTTTTATTAAGAATAAATCACTACAGCTGTATCGTTTTCACGGTCGGTCTTTTTATTTATACTTTTACCTATTTTAGCTTATTTACCATAGTCCTATACTAGTTTTCATTAATAATATCAGCTAGCCAGTTGATAGCTGATAGCAGCTAAAAGAGCCAGTCTCAATGAGATTGGCAGCCGTGGCCGAGGACAGGACATGATCATCATCATCATCGAGTACTAACTTGTATATGTCCACGTTCCCCTCATAGAAGAGGTGGTGGAACACGTTGCAGGCGTCGACGGCGGGCTGGCCCTGCTGCTTGTACCCGAACACGAGGTCGATCCAGTGGTGCAGGCGGTGCGACACGTAGTCGGACTCGAGCGCCGCGCGGTGCACGCGGATGAACTCGCGCGGGTCGCCCTTCGCCCACGGCGGCAGCACCACGTCGTTCAGCGCCACGCCCGACTGCTTGCTCCCTGCGACACATCAAATGTGAACTACTCACTTATATTATACTAGCGACGCATTCGTCCCTAGGTACGTTTTAATTTTTTTGAACGGAACCCTAATTCTTTTTCTAAAATAAATGTGGCCTATGTTACTCCCTGTAACATCAGCTATCTTTCAGTGGAAGCCCCATCAAAATCAGTCCAGCCGTTACAGAGATTATCCGGAACAAACAGACAGAAAAAAAAATTAAAATTTTGTTTTTCTTATAAGTATTGTATATAATTACATATGCATTTAGTAAAACGCTGTTATTTTGACATAACAAACAGACACTTCAATTTTATTTAACTGTATAGATTTAGAGTGAGTCTACCTGCAAATTTTTACATTTGTAAAATCAAAAACTATTAACGGGACAGAACGCAGGAGTTATTATTAGGATAGTGTCTTACGGGTTAGTCCAGAATTGCTTTAAGAGTTTCTTTCAATTTTAATCTTCATATACATTCTCTTCAATTTTATATTAATATCTGATACTCATATTATTGAAATTTTAAGGATTCGGAAGTGCTTAGCTTGGTTATTTTTTTAATTGTTTGCCCTCTCAATGCCTATACTTATCATGATAATATTTACTATCATTAGTAAACTGACTGCATCATGAACTTAACATCAATGCTAGTATCGTTAGTTCATCAATTTATTATTAAGTTACTTATATTACCATTATTATTAATACGATATAAGTACAGTCCCTCGGGCGTACTTTAGTAACAGTAGGCTGTTAATAAAGAACGCCGGCAAGAGGATCAAGCAAAGCAATAGTAGTTCATTTTTTTTCAAATTATATGTAAACTATCGAAATTACCTAAATCAAAATTATTCGAGTTTTCCAAGAATTCGGGTAAATAGAAAAATTCCGGAATTAGTTCCTTAACGTCAGCCATATTGTGTCGTGAAGCCGAGTTCCAAGCTTCTTTAATGGAATGAAACATTCTGCAAAATAAATATCATCATTAAACATTTAATATATTATACAATTACTAAAATACTATAATATAAATTGATATGTCTTACCTATCGGCGAGATCAAAATGTCCACCTTGCAGTCTTAAGAAGTGCTGTGTAAATGGTTCCATTCTCACAAGATAAGAACAAACAATCATGGCGGAAGAGTAGTGGGTTCCGTAGTGATAAGGAGGCGTTTCACCGTGAGGGTCGTCCCATTCCTATAAATATGCATATAAGTTCATTAAAATATTGTAAGAAACATATTAAATATACATAGTAACATAAAGTTGATAAAAACATGTCTACTGTGCTTGAGCCTTGAGATGTTGTAAATTGTGTTTGAGTTTACGTTATAACAGTGCTTTACAAAATTTATTTTGTATAGTATTATTACGTACATATGCTAAGCCTTCGACATGCTACTTATTCAACCATTTAATGTCAAATTATAACATTGGGTTTACTTTCCTATAAAACATACCATAATGACAATCTTTTAATACTTTCTTAGATTTATGCGAATATTTGACAGTTTATATTGTCATTTTTGTAAAATAGTGGATAGGGACTGTTTGTAACAAGTATATAACGCCTTTGAGACGTCCATAACCTTGGTCTCCCGTGACCATGATTGCTGTAAAGCGTTCGAAACGTCGGGAACCAAAAATCAAAATAAATACGCAAATAATCCGAAAAGATAATTTTATTTAAAATGACAATCTTTTAGTTTTTATACATAATATGTATGTTTTTTGTGGTACTTAAAAAAATTAATATATTACCTTATATCTTTTTCTAAATTGCTCCAGTCTATCGGGACTTTGCGCGCCCATTGGCTTCGTAAGATCTCGGAATGTAGCAGGATGAGTCAGGTCTAATTCTAGAGAATCATAGTCGGCCAAAATCCAAGGAAAGACTGGATATTGCATCAGATCATTGTACGAGCGGCCCGCCAGCGTGTTGAGGTGCATTAAGTATTGGAAGTTTGATATTTCGCCCCTCTGTAAAAATATAGTTAGGAAATAAAGGAAAACGTTAGTGAAAAGACTAGTTAATATTTTTATGATAATAACACAAGTAAATAATACATACGTTTAATAAAACATTAGAAAAGGCAGAATTCGAGTAGGTACTTTATTAGGTTTGTGTTGGACATCACTCAAGCAATAAAGACAGGGAAATATCGAAGTAACTCCATAACCCAGACTAAACGAGAATTAATTGTTTTTATATAAATCGTTGAAGGCGGTTCCATATAAAAAAAAACACATTTAAGAGCGAAAGGATTTAAAGTGACCATAAAAGCCAGTTTAAATTTTTTTTTAAATTTATTACGAATTAAATAGCGAATAAAAATATAGAAGGCTCACCAGCCACCGCTGAGTGACAGATGTGTCCCCTATAAGCGTGGCGAGCAGGCCGGCGGGCTGCTCCACGGCCACGCCGCGCTTCTGGCCCGCCACCGAGCCCGCCGCGCTGTCCGCCATGCCCGTCGCCAGCGCCGTGAACCGGCTGTACACCTGCCACGTCAAATGTTATCATGCTCATATTATCCGACTGTTATTAATACTGCTAGTTTGTAAGTGTGCGTGAGTACGTGCGTGACCAAGCGAGTGAGTGCGTGCGTGAGTGCGTGCGTGGGCGCGCGTGTGTCTATTACTAGACTATGAGCTTAAGTAATATAGACTACTGTTAGGCACCTAAGGAGCAACTGAGCGAAATCAGGGTAAGTCTCTAGTAATTTCATATGTATTTAAAAATACGCTGTTATTTTGACATTACAAACAGACCCTTCAATTTTATTTATGTGTATAGATTTAAATTGAGTCCACCTGCAAAATTTTACATTTGAATATTTTATAGTTGTCGGGTCAATCTAAATGTCAATCAAAAGGCTAAATTGATTTGAGTAATACGTGGAATGGAGATAGCTTATATCCTGATTTAGCACGTAAGTTACTTAGCATATATTATTTAAATAGCATATTCTGGAGTACCACAGTATAAAAATCCTTATAAGGTGATCGTTTTCAATTTTATTGGTAACTAGACATTAACCCTCGCATCGCTCGGGTTCGCCCCCAAGTTGATTCCCCATACAAACTTTCATCCCCCTTTTCACTCTGTTAAGGGATGACTTCTGTTATAAAATATATCCTATATCCTTCCCAGGATCTTAAACTATCTTCTTACCAAATTTCATCTAAATCGGACCAGTAGTTTTTGAGTTTATTCGTTACAAACTTACACAAATACAAATCTTTCCTCTTTATAATAGTAGTGTAGGTATCTATACTAAATATATTCAGCATCTTATAGCTAGTCTTGGAATTTGCAACATAATTCTAGAGCCATCACTCTATGGGCAGACACCAAATATCACCGAAATAGTATATCAAACATTTATTTGTAATCATAACCTTACCTTATTCCGTACTTTTCTGGGAAAAGCTAATAAATAATTTCGTCCATCACTGGAAAATACTTCAAGTGCTATAGGTTGCAATAAGTATCTTCTTTTGTGAACCTCTCTAAAAATGAAACACATTACATATTTTATTAGTTGTAAAGGTATATAAAATGTGTGAATAAAAACGTACTAACTAAAAATATGGTCTTTTTCTGGGAAATTACCTTATATCTTCATACAAAAATTTGGAGCATTGTCTCTGATTACTCCTCTGTATGCCTTGGCTGGGCAAAATGGGGTCATAGTCGTCGGGGCAGCTGTCTAAATCGCGTATTTCTCTATTCTTAAGTAGTGTGAATCCATCAATGACGTAGCAATGTTCACGTCCGAACAGCAAAAGCCCTTCGGTTGTGTCAAGACCTTGGATTCTTGCGCAACGAAACATATGGGAGATCTAAAAATAACGTATACAGAATTAAAATTAAAAATTCAAAGTCGTTAGTAATTATTGGGTTTTATGGTTAAGAAAACAATATTATTAGAGTACTTTTTAATTATAGCACAATTTAATATACAGCAGGAAGACTCACCAATGCAAATCATGGAAGATGGAACATAGACTATACACCTACATTACATTAGTAAAGACATACAATGTTGTACTCTAATAAAAAGTAAAATTTTTATCTTTTTCAACAGTAATTAGTATGAAATTATTAATTATTACATTGTAAGTTAGGTATTTGAGACATTTTTTTATAAAAACAAAAATTAAAACCTTTTCATGGTGCTCGAGTAGTCTTAAGAGCGTTTGGTTATCAGGTGGCGGTGGTTGAGGTTCATCTTCATCTTCTGCATCTGGACCATCCTCGTTAGCTGCAAGATATACATAATATATGACATCTTTCATCTTATTATTTATTATAACTAGCGGCTTACTTTCGCTTTGCTCGGATTCGTCCCTATATACGTTTTAAATAGATATAATTATTTACTAGTCGGTGTTAGCCATAAAAATTATGTAATTTTTTTTCGTGAATTTTTCAAAGGAGTGAAAACAAATCCAACAAAACAAAGATCATAAAAATCGGTTCAGCAATTCTCGAGATATAAGTGTTGTGACAAACCCGACTTTGTTTTATGTGTATTATTTAGTTTTATAAACAAAATGTGTACCTTCCGTTGACAGGTTGGTGCCGCGGCTAACCACCCCGCTGCTGACTAAATCTGAAGGTGAACCATCTTCGTTCGCCACATCGATCGATAATTCCTTGTTACTGAAAAATATAAATAATATTAGAATATAACCACATCTTCCTGCCATAATTTTGGTCGAATACAAGAAAGATACTCTAATGATCCATCGAACGGCTCTGACTTGAGCATAGAGAACGCATTACCGACGGCGTAATGCCATAACTTTTAATATGGCCCAACGGGTATTCAAATCCAGGACGTCATAACGAAAATCTATATAAGCTAATAATAAAAACTTTTATTTATGTTCACACTTATTGGTATTTCTCTATATACCTTGGTATTTCTTCTTCGAAAGTCTGTAGTTCAGCAGTGTCGATGCCGTCGGTTTCACCTAGGCTACTCGAAGTACGCCATTGCTGGTACACTCTGTAGTATTCCTTACTGTCCCGACTTTGCGCCACTTTATATTTCAATTGTTTCTGAATAAATAAAATTAATATAAGCAGGTATGTTGTTAAAGATCTTGCCATAGTATGGCACGTTAAACATAACATTAGCTATATGGCCTTATTATATCAATTAATCGACTTTATGCTAATAGCTGAGTTTGAATATGCCCAACATAACTGTGTTACTAAAGCATTGCAACTGAGCTTATAAACTTTAACTTTTATTTCTTGAACCTTTTTCATCAAATAAATACTTAATATATTTTTTTTATTAAAAAAGGTTTTGCTTTTTTATAAACGCGAAAGTTTGTAAGAATGTAAGTATGGATGTAAGTATGGATGTATGTTTGTTACTCTATCACGCTAAAACTACTGAATGGATTTTGATGAAACTTTACAATAATATAGCTCATACATCAGAATAACACATAGACCACTTTTTATGCCGGAAAAATGTACTGTCCCCGTGGGATAGATTTGTTTTTGTTTGTCCAGAGGCGAACTTGAGCGAAGCGAGGGTGAGCCGCTAGTCAGATATATGTATACTAACACTGTCGGAGCGCTCAAGCTCCGGTCGATACGGGTAATGCGTGTAGAAGGCGTGGTTGCGCCGCAGCTGCTTGCGCATGCGGCACGGGCCCTCGGTGCAGTGCAGCGCCCACTTGTCGAGCGCGGGCGCGCGCGGCGGCCCCCACAGCCCGCGCTCGCGCGTCAGCTCGCGCCACGCGCCGCCCCACTCCGCCTGCACGTAGCGCGTCGTGTGCGCCGCCGTGTTGCCCGCCGCCGACAGCTGCCCGCACCACGCTTGTCTGTACGCACACGTCGAATGTACTTATAATAATCAGTATTTTATATCTATTGATATAATGTTTGATGTCAGTTTGCAGTGGCTGTGACAGTACTTGCTGTGCCAGCGATCGCGGGTTCGAGTCCCGCAGGGGGCAGTCATTTGTGTGATGAGCACGAACGTTTGCACTCCAGTCATGGGTATATTTATAATATGTATGTATTTAAAGTTATATATGTGTAGTCTATCAACTATCTGGTATCCATAACACAAACTTTGTAGCTTACCATGGAACTAAATGGCGCTGTGTGTTAATGTCCCAACATATTTATTTATAATTATTTAATGTACTTCTATTCTATTGAGAAATGCCAACAAATTATTGGTAGTTCTCTTTTCTAAAGACATTTAAACCGATACAGGTAAATAATGGTTTTACAGTGTTAGCAAAAGGTAATCGTATTATTTGCCATTAAATCTAATTTCTTATATAAATATATATGTAAATGGAATGCAGCTAACCTTATCATGTCGCTTTCAGCTAACTTCATCATGTCGCTTTTTGGCTGTCGATGTGCGCGCGCATCTTGAAAATTTACTCTAATATTTTTTTGCCAAACGTACCAAAAAAAGTATAACTTCAATAAACAAGTGCACATACCTTACTAATTGCACATGGTCCTGCATATAAGCAAGCGCGTGTTCCCTCGGCGGTTGCGGACGCTGCTTCGCGGAGTCGTCCTTCTTGACCTTGGTGCGTGACGCGAGGCGCGTCAGTCCGCCCGTCACTTTCTGGATCTTTGATTGTATCTGATTGTGAAGCTCCCAGGGCACGCGGTACACGGCCTGAGGTATAACAGAAAAATTATAAATACAAAAATTACTATTGAATTATTATTATATCTTTTAAATTCATGTATGCGAGTATGCTTAGTAAAGTTCTTCCTGATAATATAATTGTAGTATTCCCAAACATAAAATGTTTCACAAAAGATAAATAGTGCATGAAAAGCTACAAGTTTAAAAAGATGCCTGCAATATACGTTCTTAAGATCTTCAAATTGATAAATAAAATAAAAATTTGAACTATCATTAATATTTAAAAAAAAATCACGTTTCGTAATAAATTCTGCGTTAATATAACATAACTAGCGACTCACTCTCGCTTCGCTCGGGTTCGTCTGTTATTCGCTTGCTTCCCAATACAAACTTTCATCCCCATTTTCATTCCCTTAAGGGATGATTTCCAGAAAAAAAAATCTATGTCCTCCCTATGGTCTCAAACTATCTTCTTACCAAATTTCATATGAATCGGTTCAGTAGATTCAGAGATTACTCCCTACAACGTCACAAACTCACAAACTTTAGTTCTTTATAATATTAGTATAGATTATTCTATCGACGACATGTAAATGAATTCTACTACATATATATACAATCGCAAAGCGCACCTTCCGCTCAGTATCAATATAGTTGATCCACAGCTTGTGCGCGTTCTCGTGCAGCTGCTCGCGCGCGGCGCCGAGGTCGGGCGCGCGCGCGTTGCCCACGGGCGCCACCAGCGACATCTTGAACACCTCCTCGATGGCCGGCTTCTTGCACGCGTACAGCTCCTCCCACACGCGCCGCGCTGCGCCCGCCATCAGGTTACGACCTGGCAACGTAACTAACTTAGTACAGGAAACATAATAATAATAATAATAAGCCTTTTATTTCCTTAATAAAAAATAATAAAATTTAATTTGGTTTAACAATTATACGATCTAACTAATTGAATATTTTTACGTGACATTATAATTATTAAATTAATGTTTTTTTAAAGATAGAGTACTTATATGAGTATAAAAAGTTTGTATGTGTATACGTGTTTGCATGACGTGTTTGTTTATTATTTTTGGATTAAATTTAGAACAACATGTTAACAGGCTTCTCCTGGGCAAACTCGCTAGATAGTAGACCTTATTTATATGCCTATATTTTGATATTATATTTATGCCTATGCCTTCGAGCTAAGATAAAGGTCAAGAGTAAGCCCATTTTTAATAATAAAAAAAACAAAGGTGATCCATGACCTGGAGTGACAAAAAGGCCACCAATCCTTTTTGTCAAATAAAATTTGACAAAAGGTGACATTTGCCAGTATATGTTATAAATACAAATGGCACCTGGAGACACTTGATCGATGCAAGGGTAAGTCGGAAATGTTTTTATAATAAGTATTCAAAAAACATTTGTTTGACATGTTTTAAAAATGCATTTATTGATTATTACAAGTTGTATGTACAATGTACATAAAAATTACATTTTTTTTAATTATCACTATGTAAAAAAATCATTTATTTATATATTTTTGTAATAAAACGTACCTTGATGGGCTGTCAACTTATCATCCCTGGACTCGAGATCACCGCTGGGGTTAACGTGCCAAGTAGTGCGCATGCACGAGTCTAAGGCGATTTTCATATTAGCACTCAGTTGTAGTAGACAGTAAGTTAAACACCCTATGAACTCCAACTCGTGATTTCCTGCTCCAAAAATTAATAGCCTGCCAAGATAACAAATAATACATTTATTTTTGGATAATTTTATTCATATCAATTTCTAATGTAAAATTTATATTGCCTATATGAATAAGAACAATACCTGTTCGTAGTAAGTTTGTGCAATGCTTCAAGTACGGACATTTGATCTGCGATAGAGTCTGTCGATCGTGATAATAAGAACAAAATTGTTCTATTCAAACAGTGATGCAATCCCTCTAACGACATTACGGAGGACTTCTTTTTAGCTTGTGCCAGCAATTTGACCAAGAAATCGAACACCTACGAAAAGATAAAATTAGCTCAGTCTACATATTCATAGTTATTTTATACCTAACACTTATATACTATGAATATATTTTAAAGTGTACGTTTTAACGGTTAGTATGAAATACAAATCTTTAAATTTCTCTACTTTTCTGTACTATAATATACATGTATTAAACATATAACCTTCCTTTTGAATCACTCTATCTATTGCTGAAAATTGCATTAAAATCCGTTCATTAGTTTAAAAGATCTAAGCGAACAGCCAGCGGAACGACTTCATTTTATACTATGTAAATATAAGTACTTATTAGCCAGCGTTAGCCATATACATTTTCCGGCCTATATTTGCCTTTTCAATAATTATTTTATTAATCAAAAAGAAATTATAATAAAAATATTGATATAGGCTTAATTCAAAAGGAATAAAAATTATTAAAAAAAAATATTTCACCTATTGTAAAATACATATTACATCTATTATAATGATCATCGTTTCACAGAATATTATGAGTGCTGATTTCAGATTTTACAAATTAGATAATAAGTTATCGTATTCGTAGCATTTTATATTCTATGAATAAGGTTCGGGTTACCAAACCGTAAGTAATAAATAACAGTACCTGGACGACCTAGTTTCGCTCGGAGTTCTTTTTTGTTATATCATATTTTTTAGATAGAAAGAAAAACAAAAAACTTGAATAAATAAAAACAAAAACAAAAGTAAAAACTTTGTATCTGGCCGTTCGTGTTGTCAATCTTGCGCCTTGGCCCCTTGACCACGATCCTTATGCCCGAGTGTGCGAAAATAACAACCATATTTTGCGTGGATAATGCGAAAGAACACCGCAAGATAACTCGATAACACGCGTTTTTTCCAGACATAAGACTAATCGGAAAACCTCCACATACCAAATTCCAGAGAAATCATTAGAGCCGTTTCTGAGATCGCCGGTATAAATAAATAAATATACAAGAATTGTTCGTGTAAATATATTAGATTAGATTTATTTTTACTCATTCGATGTACAGATATTGTCTCCCACGTGGAAGGTATTTAGAGGACTTACTGGACAAATGCGATATTTGACTCTTTCTTCCTATAATACTTTCTTAGATTTACGCGAATATTTAATATTTTAAATAAAACTATCTTTTCGGATATCTTTCTTAATAGTTATCTAAAAAATAGCAATATTCGGATATTGTATAATCTATAATTATAGTTTACCTCATGTGGATCTCTGGATAGCTGTCCTTGCCACAATTTGTCGACAAGGCGCGCTGCCAGATAGCATACATTCGATATATTTGACTCCGATCCAAATAATTCAGTATTTAGAAGATTTTCCATTATCGTTGTTAGAACCTCTGTTTGGAACTCTATTTGTTGTTGACTTGTAGAATTTGCAGGAGATGCGTCCAGAACTAGATCTATGACCTGGAATTAAATTAAAGTATTTTAGTCATTTAAAGTGTAAATATGTTGTAGAAATTATTGTTAAGAATGCATGGCGTGCTGTTAAGTTTTACAGGTCTATTAACAAATAATATTATTCAGGTCTGTAATTATATAATATTGTATATAAAGCTCCTGTACTAAAACAAGCGCGTTGAAGTTTTAGCCGCATACTTCTATAATATAATATCTATGTTAGGTGCTTAACCGCTAACTATAAATTTTTGAAATTTAACAGTAGACTCCAAAAACTCATCGAACATATTTTTGGACGTCTTCCTAAAAGAACTACCCAGATAACCCAGAGCAGAATACTAATTTATTATCAAAAAAAACATGGTACGCTATAAAAAAAATACGTGTTAACTGAGAATATAATCTCCGTTCCGTATTTAACCCAAATCCGTTTAGCCATTACAGCTAAAAGAAACTTTCACATTTATAATTAGTATGTTTCTATAATATATATATATATATATATATATATTATGGAAATATTTATAAGATATATATATATATATAACTAGTTCATCATATATAAAATAAATATACTTTGGCAAGAAGTATAGAAAAACAAAGAAATAGATTAGATGACGACCACCTGTTTAAAGTATCATGCTTTTTATTATGCTAAGCAGTTGAGTTAGTTTGTTATTTACAATATTGCCATATAAGGATAATAAACAGATAACGATAAAATATTTTGTACGCCTTTCACTTTAAAAATAATAAGATAAGAATCCATTCCATTGATATATGGTAAGTATGAAATTTTTGAGGTCAAGCGTTAATAAAGCATGTTAGTCTTGTTGTTAAAATAAGTGACGACTTCACGGTTACGACAAATGCATCTTTAAAAAGCTTTAATTATTTATTAAATAAATCTTTTTTCTAATTATATTTTGTCTATAATTCCGTAGAGCGTCACTGAAATAGTATTAAGTAGACTAATTTCCGCATATTTACGCAATAAAAGAACGATCTTGGAGGGGCGCAGGGGCTACATGGCGTACAAAACATTGACGGCGGTACGGCGTCGCCCGCGCTCTAGAACAACATCCATTCGCTGTAACCTGTTAGTTCGGGGCTTCATACTGTATTAGCACAGTCTACTAATCCATACGGTCGTCTAATAAATGCGCAAATCGTGTGGGGGGACATACAGGTAAGGTGTACCCGACTGCCATATTTAGTTTTACATGACAATTGTTATTTTTTAACATTCAATATTAATAAGCGATCGCCTATTGTATGGATTTTTATACTGTGGAATTAGTCGGCCGTAAGTGTAAGCTTACATGACACTTACAAATGTGTAAAAATAATATTGAGATAGGTGTTATAGTAAAATGAAATCAGTTAAATTATAACTCGCGTCATCTAAAAAGAAAGCTGGCTGTCAAGCTGCGCAGAAGCGATTTATCGGTCAAATTGGTGGTAAGAAGCGAAGCGCGGGGCGGCGGGGCACGCGCCACATGCTTGCCGGCGCGCTATTGGTTCGTCAGTTCGAAATACCATCGCGCACACAAAAGTTTTTAATTACGAAATAGTTTTATATATAGAAAAGAGAAAAAATGTTTTTGACGTTTATTGTTTTACAAAGAGAGAGTCTAATAATAATGCAGTTAATAATAAAAAAAAAAATGTATAAAACGTATTAATTTAATTTTTGTAAGTAGATTAAACATTCTACACCGAATCAAACATATTTTAATAATGAATAGAATTCTATTTAATGATATTCTATCTAATATATTTTTCAATGTCCCTACCAATAACTAATATATGAAGCCGAGAGCGCAATGCTATGAAAAATAAAATAATAGGCTTAGTACTTTTGTGCGCGAGTATACCCATGCGCAAACATACCCTCTCCATTTTCTTCCAGCGTTCTTTTTAGATGACGCGAGTCATCATAACAATATTGGCACATCCTTTACGCAAAAAATATTTTTAAAGTTGATAAACATTTATAATATACTTGATAATTATTGTTTGACAATCTGAACTCAACTTTTTAATAACATATATAAATGTGTATGTAATAAAACATATAATTTTCTTACCAAAAGATTTGTTTGTCTTTTATTTTCTTTATGTTTATCAACCTTATATTTTTATTCCATTCATGCATTCCCCAATTATATATTTTCTCAATAGCATTTTATTTTTATTAAAATTTACTTAAATTAACAAAAAATATTTGTAATCGAACAAAAAAAAACAAAAATTAACAAAAAATAAAGAGTAATTTATTTTTTTATTGCAAAATAAATTTATAAGCGTAACACGTAACGTCAAATTACTTACCATTTTTATGAATTTATGTTCCTAACTCACAACATATTTTTATTTAAAGTAAAATATGTATATGTATCTACGTAACATCATCATCAGCAGGCAGGCTATCATAGACCTCGCAGTGAGGACTGGTGCAAAGCTGCCGAGATCATAAGACCTAACCATGTTCGGTGGGCCGTAGACTCCTTTAAGCCCTACAAGGCGAGAGGGGAAGACGGGATACCACCAATCTTACTGCAGCAAGGGGTGAACATCCTCCTTCCTCACCTGATCAAAATCTTCAGAGCGAGTTTCGCCTGGGGATATGTACCAGACATATGGACCCTTGTTAGGGTCATATTTATACCTAAAACTGGTAAAAAAGACTATAGCCAACCAAAGTCTTTTAGACCAATAAGCCTCTCTTCATTCTTACTCAAAGCAATGGAGAAGGTACTGGATAGGTATATAAGAGATGAAATCTTGACTAAAAGCCCAATCCACTTTAATCAACATGCATATCGTAAAGGTAAATCAACAGAGACTGCCCTTACAAGTCTTATAGACCAAGTGGAAAAGGCGTTAGAAGACAAGGAAATAGCACTATGTGCATTTCTAGATATCGAAGGTGCTTTTGATAACTCTTCTACTTCGCTGTTGATAAATGGGTTGATAACTAAAAATGTTGATCCAACAACGGTTAAAGTGGGTAAAATCTATTGCTCACTAGCAGAAGAGCAAAAACTAGCCCTCCACGACACAACTATCTATATATCCACAGCAAGAGGATGTCCGCAAGGGGGAGTTCTATCCCCACTACTGTGGACACTTGCTGTGGATGAATTACTACACAAACTGGCAGAACTCCGCATTGATGCGCAAGGCTATGCTGATGACTTGGTAATCATAGCAAGGGGCTTCTGCCAATCCCACACTTTCAAGTATAATGCAGAAGGGTCTGAACATTGTCAGTGACTGGTGTGTTAGAAATGACCTATCAGTCAACGCTGACAAAACTGGTCATTGTGCCCTTTACAAACAAGCGAAGGTTAGACAAACTAGTCATGCCAAAGCTTAATGGCAAACAAATCGCATTTTCCACGCAAGTCAAATACTTGGGACTAACATTAGACCAAAAACTGACGTGGAACCCGCATCTAACTGCAGTCCTAAGTAAAGCCAAGATGGCATTGGGAATAAGTGGCCGCATGTTGGGTAAAAATTGGGGGTTAAATCCCAAAAACACACTTTGGACTTACACTGCTATTGTGAGGCCAATTATCACGTATGCATCGGTAGCCTGGTCCAATAAGGCCAAACAGACGACAGCCATTCAAAAACTAGACAGCCTACAAAGAACAGCCTGTCTAATGACCACAGGAGCCATGTCTACGTGCCCTGGTCAGGCACTAAATGCATTACTCGGGCTGCCACCTTTAGACCTTTTTATACAAAAGGAGGCAAAAGCCAGCATGCATAGAGCTAAAATCCAAGGCAGAACTCATTGGCTCTCACGAAAAATGAGGACCCTACAGGACTCATTACAAGAAATGCCGCTACTTGGTATGACGACTGATGCCATGTTAATTCGGCACTCATTTGTAAAGTATTATACAATTGAATTTCCGTCAAGGGAAGACTGGACTAAAAGCCAGGTAATCCATAAAAACGGATCTCTCATCTGGTTTACAGATGGCTCAAAAATAGAAGCAAAGGTTGGCTGTGGGATATATGGAGAGCGACCGAGGTTTAGCAAAAGCATACACCTCGGACAATTTGCCTCTATTTTCCAAGCAGAAGTCTATGCCATTCTAGAATGTGTAGAAGCTAATTTGTCTAAGCACTACACAAATCAAACTATCTATATAAATTCAGATAGTCAAGCTGCACTACTAGCGCTGGACTCAAACATAGTCTCATCAAAGTTAGTGGAGCAGTGCATGGACCGACTAAACCTCTTAGCAAGAAGTAACAAAGTAGTGCTAAGATGGGTACCGGGTCATGCAGGTGTAATTGGCAACGAGTGTGCCGATAAGCTCGCTAGAGGGGGAGCTCTTGGCATACAGCAGGGCCCTGAGCCCTTCTGTGGGATACCTAAGAGCCTAGTTCAAAGAACCCTAATGATAGCATGTCTTAAGACTGCAACAAAAACCTGGACTGAATCAAATGGAATGAATCACTCCAAGGCATTAATTAGAGCCTACGACAAAAGGTTTAACAATCTTATGCTAGGGCTAAACAGAAAACCTTACGAATACTGGTAAGGGCCTTTACTGGACACTGCTGCTTAAATAAGCACATGTTCAACCTGGGGCTGAGCGAAACGCGAACCTGCAGAATTTGCAGGGAGGCAGACGAAACGCCACTGCATCTTCTGTGGGAATGTGGACCGCTCATGCACAAACGTAGTATTCATCTAGGTAAACAATTTCCAAGCCTAGATGAAATAAAAGAGTGTAACCCTAAGAAAATCCTGCAGTTCTTAACATCAGCAGGGTTTAGTGGTTCACTCTAGTACAATATGGCGGAGATCACAATAGACCAGAAGAATGGTCGCAGTGATATAAAAAGCCGCCAAACAGAAATAAAAAAAAAAAAAAAAAAAAAAATCTACGTAACTATGTAAATGATATATGTTTTACACGGTATAATTATACATATAACGTCTTATACGTCAAAAAAAACCTTTGGGCTAAAGTTGACGTGAATTCTGTTTAATAAATAATTAGTTATAACCCATCGATTAAAAAAGTACTAGATACACAATAAGCGATAAAAAATGAATGAGCGCTTATATATTTGAGCACGTTTTTAAATATATTTTTTTTGTGAAAACAACTTGAGCATTGCATTTAAGATTCAATTTACATTCTTGTATATTTATTTCAACTAAAATAATTACCTAAACACAATTAGTGACAGTTTTAAGAGAATTTTTGCATGGGATTGTGTATCTAGTACTTTTTTGATCAATGGTTATATCTCAAAGAGAGACCCATTCCTAACAGTTAATTCCTGTGACTTATATTGCATTGGTATACTTTTTCATTAGTTTTAATTACAATGCATTAATCAAACAAAACAAGTATATAATTACAATAGCGACTCATCCTCGCTCCACTCGGGTTCGTCCCTAGGTACGTTTTAACGGTTAGTATAGATTTCTCAGAAATGAGATATTTTCCCAGAGTAAAAAGTATCATAAATGTTGACCCGGATAACAAGCTATCACCATACCAAATTTCATTAAAAGATCAAACAGACAAAAATTCTCTATCGATAATAATGACTATTTCAATAAGATTTTCTAAAAAATATACAGATTCGACTCAGTTAGAATTTTATTAAATGTATAGATAGATGACTGACCGGCGCACTTTTGGCAGAAACATTCAACGGCAGCGAGTCCAGTACAATGACGCGCAGGAAGTCCATGACGGTGTGGCGCGCCGGGTGCTGCGTCAGCGACGCGGATGTGTTCGGTATTACTACTTCCTTTTCTGAACCTGGGGTAGATGCTCCTGAACTCTCACCGCTCTCGCACACCGCTGAAATAATATAAATAAATAGCATCTTTTAATTTAAATACCTCTGAAAAAATATATTTGAAATTAACAAAATAATATTGACAAAATGTAACTTACGCATGTGTATATCATCTGAAGCATTTGGTGGGAAGAGCGTCGAAGCCAGAGCTGTCAACACTTCAGCGCTCATCATTAACGTTACAAAATCGGGAAGTGTGTTATAGAAAGAAAATAGAACCTGAAAACGAAATTATTATCTTAATTTATATTACATTATAATGAGCTAGAATCCGAGAGATGGCGGCACTACAGGGTTTCAACTTCAAAACCGTTGAACTTGACAGTACAGTCGTCAAACATAGTTGTAGTGACTCACTTGCACAATGGCAACAGGATGATCGGCCAGCCAGTCGGGCAGGCAGGCGGCGTCGGCGTGCACGAGCGCGCGCGCCGCCGCCAGCAGGATGACCACGGCCTCGGCGCACAGCGTGATGCGCGCCTGCACGGCGGCGGGCGACTGGCGCGCCGGCGCCGCGCTGCCCCACGCCGCCGCCCACACGCGCTCCACCGAGATGGCGCGCTCGCTGCCCAGCTGGTGCATGGGCTGGCCCAGCGCCAGACCGAACAGCAGGTAGTACAGCTCGGGGATCTGCAGGTGGCTGAGCAGTAGCCTGCGAGATGGAAATGTTTCATTTATTTTATTACGTCTGTTTTTTTTATTGACTGCTTTCAAAAAAAAAGAATGGGTGTTTAACAATAGCTTTTGTGCTACTCCAGGTCATAAATAGGTCTGTGTGTTATCCAGCCGTTTCAGCGCGAAATGATAACAAATATACACACACATACATACTTTCTAACTTTCACATAAAGCTATAGTAATAGTCCGATAAAGCTTCATTTTAACAACATCTTTCATTATAACTTGGAAAATTTATCGATGGCGAAGCAAATCAACCCTTGCACTAGTTTGGACAAGATTCTTAAGACTTAATCGTTACAGACCAATTTTTCTGTAAATGTTGAGTATGTTTACCTTTATTTAGAATATATGAAATTTCACACAGAATTATTAAAATGAGAAGCTATCTGGATAAGATGACAAATAAAAGTGTTACTAATAAAAATGTATATAACTGTCCAAAAAAATATACTATAATAATGTGTATGAGCTCTTCCAGACGTACCAGGCGAGCGGCGTGAAGCCGGGCGTGTAGAGCAGCTGCGCGTGCAGGTGCGCGTGCGAGTGCACGGCCGCCGTCAGCACCACGCCGGCCTGCTGCGACACCAGCTCCGTGTGCCGCAGCCAGCCACCGTTGTGCGTGCCCTCGCGAAATCTGCTCACAAAATCATATGTATATACTAAAACTTCCCTAGGTGCCCAAGAGTAGTTTACGAATTTCCCCAGATCATTATATGTGGTGGTGGATGTCTATATGAGGTGTGTACTAAATTTTATTCAAATCCGTCCATTCGTTTCAACAAAAAAGAAAAAAAATCACACACACATACACTCATGCACGCACACAAGAGCTTCTGGTAACTTTCCATTTGTTGCAAGCAAATAGGTGATGATAATTAGAAAACACGCAAAGTTAAGTAAAGTACATTATCACATAAGGATGGTCCATTTCTAGCTAGCCATAAGCGTGTTTAAAATATAAATCAGACCTCATGAACATATCTTTGAATATCTTTTTACCGAAATTGTTATAAATATACTTGTATTAATTACCTTTGCATAATAGCCGATTGTTGTCCCTGTCCAGAACACAACACCACTAATATCTTCATCGCCAACAATACTGTACTGGGGTGTACATTTTCCATCATAAAACAAAGCAGCCAGTCCATTCCGAGTACTCTTGATATCTCCTCACTGACTGCATTACTTTCTAGATTTCTCGTCATCAGTAAAAGACAATGCATGAAGGCCAAGCATTTGTTTCTCAAAATTATGAGTTCCCCTTCACCTTCCTTATCAAACTCGCCATCTTTAATATCAACTCCTTGTTCTGATTGCGAAGGCAATGGGAGTGTGTACGCCAAAAATTGACCTAAGCATAGAAGGTCACTGGGCCGCGGTTGACCGCCTAATAAATTAGCTAATAATTGTATTAGAACATTCTTTGTGCTCGGGACTTTTATATCATTTACGATATATAGCAGTTTGGGCACTAGCTGCAGTTCCCTCATTGTGCGTAAATTGTGCGTTCTGTGCGCAGTTTCCGTTGCCAATTCAAATAAATGTTCCAGGAGTGATTTTATTAATCCGCCTGGTGCATTTAGCCATACGTCCAGATCACATATTAAGTCCTAAAAATACAAATATAAGAAAAATATATTGTATAAACATTATAAAAAAAAATTTCAAAAATTATACATATCCTCAAAAACTTACTTGGAAAGCAGTCAAGTTCGGAATAGAAGAAGTTTCCTTTTGACTGTCAACTGTGCCTACTAATCCAAATATTAAATGCAAGATATGTGAGTTGAGCAGTTGTTTTTTCCTCTTCAAAAGCATGGCCAGAGTTTGATAGCCTTTTCGCCGGTCCATTTCTGCCTGAGCGGCTTTGTTCGAGCGCACCACACACACCAGGGCCTTCACTCCGGCGTACAGACATTCTACGTCTTGAGCCATCGCTATAAGACCTAATAGAACGGAGCATCCGCCCACAGTATCAATCTACGAAAGATATTAAATAGAGTTAGTGACATTCCTGTATCAAAAATGACAAAATTTGCTATAATAAATAGAAAACGAACATATTTTTTTTTTATATAACAAATAACATTAATGCGAAATATATAGTGTTTCAATCAGTCTTACCATAATGGCAGCTGGTTTGGGGCAAAATACCCTCACACCCAAATATCCAACAACAGTTCCGCCTAAACATCTCGCTGGTCCCATTAGATGTCCAGCAGAGTTGTGCAATATTCGTATTGGTGTTGCGTTCTCGTGTGAAGACATTCCAAGTTGTTTTGCTATGGCTTTATTGTCATTTTTACTGTACACTTTACGTATTTTTGCGAGTGTCAATTGGGATAATGCACGTGCATTTATTCCGAACACAACTTTCTCTTCGGCTATAAGAGGCGACAATGGCTCTTGGTTTTGACCGGGTGGAAGGGGAGCTTGTAAAGTCCCGACGTAGTGAGGTCCCAGCTGATAGATCACTGATATTGTTGGTGGAGACAGTACCTGGTATTAAAAAAAATGACTTCATTTGTCCCTTGGTATATATTTGACATACACTTTATTGCTTTATTTCTAATCGTTTCAGTAGCACACGCCGATTAAGCATTACAGCGTTAATTTTTTTTCTGACTTGAATTAAAGTTATTATGACATAAGACATTTAAAAGTAAACACATTTTAATTGAAATAAAAAGTCTATAGCACTCGGTGATAATGGAGCTTCCTATTATAGTCAACGAATTCTCAGCAACTAATAAGTAGTATCAAAGATTATATCCTACATCTAAAGTTACAAATTTTAGCTCTCTAAAATATTAGTGTAGATTAAAACATAATAGCGACTCAATTTTAATTTTAGGACAAAATACAAAAAAAAAAGATAAGGACCTATGACAAACAGACACTACTGCTAAGATTTCAAAAACTTATGTACACACGCAAAAAGTTATACTTCTTTGGCGTAACAGAACAAAAATAGTTAAAGATTTCATCCCGTATGTCACAACTCTCTGTATGTAAAAAAAAGGAATGCAGCTAACTTCATCATGTTGCTTTTTGCCTCTCGATGTGCGTGCGCATCGTAAAAATTTACTCTCATATTTTTTTCCAAAACATACCAAAAGATGTGTAACTTCAAAAATACTCACGTTTAATTAAATTTAGAGTAGTAATTAAACACTTACATCCTCTAACAACAAAGCGGGCCCCTGCCGCCACACGAGGCGCGAGTAGCGCCGCCACTGCGGCGGCGTGCCGATGACGCAGTACACGCTGGACGCGCCCGACAGCGTCGCCGCGCCGCCGCCCGGGTTTGCGCTTACGTAGTGCAGCTTTCCGGAATGCATGTGTTGACCTGGGAAAAAATCAGTTATGCTATGAATTTATTGTATATCTTATAGAAAACTCGTCTAATTAGATATCACATTATTTTTTAGCACATTTTATATCACAGCCCTTTTTACCGTCCTCCCTTCAGTACGAGAGGAATCAGGCCATAGTCCACCAAGCTGACCAAGTGCGGGTTGGCGGACTTCACATATCTTTTTGAAAACTTGCTAGGTTCTCTCAGATATGCAGGTTTCCTCACGATGTTTTCCTTCACCATTAAGACAAGTGGTAATCATGTTGAAAATGATTCGCACATGAAAATATCAGAGGTGCGAGACCTGGGATTTGAACTCGCTTCACTCGGTTTCCCAAGTGAGCGTGTTACCACTGGGCTACAACTGCCCACATTATTATAGGTTATAGCAAAGTGTATAACGCTTTTGAGGTAATTGACACCATTAGTCAATATTTCCCTTCTCTAAAAACTCTTAATTTCAGCTTAATCCGATTAACTTTTAATTAACTATTAAATTAGATTTAATTGACAAATGACATAACAGATTTTTATTGCCATACAAAATCCATGAGAAAATCGCATTTAGATAACTCATAAAAATTATGTCAATTTATTGGTGGTGCCAACTACCCGGTTATTAAAATTTATAATACAAACTACTAAATTTATAATTCATAAAATGTTATTAATAATTAACATAATACTTTCTTTTTTTTCTTTATTTAATAATAATTAACATTATCATAATGAAATAGTATACATAAATGAAGGAAATACCGTCTAAGTAAAGCGAAAAGGAGGAGTTCTTCAATACGGCTCTATTAAACAATAGCGCAAGATGGTGCCACTGTCCTTCGTGCTGCAAGTCCGGGCACCACACCCGCGCGCCGCACTCGCCCGCACCGTCCGGCTCCCACTCGCCTACATCTGAATTAGATATATTTATTAGTCTTCACATGTCTGCTTGTCTTATGTTAATGGCGATGTATCTTAATGCAACCGTACTTGCTGTGTCAACGGTCGGGGGTTTGAGTTCCGCTAGGGCCATTCATTTATGTGGTGAGCACGAATGTTTGTACAGTCATGGGTGTTTATATTTATAATATGTATGTATTTAAAGTTATACATGTGTAGTGTGTCAACTATCTGGTATCCATAGCACAAGCCTCGTAGCTTACCATGGAACTAGATGGTGCTGTGTGTTAATATCGTAACATATTTATTATTTATTAATTAAATAATTCTCAAAAATAATTAAATAATTCTCGGCTACCACAACCACATATATTATATTGCAATAGTTGCAATAAGATTTTTTGATCATTAACCATAGAATACTTACTATGAGGAACTAGAGTTTCCTGCGTAGACACTATAATGGCCTTGTCCCTCGCAGACAGTACTACAGTGAGACAGACCAGGTGTTCGTCGCGAGTGTTGTTGATGTTCCGCACCAGCGTGAGCAGCCTCACGCAGTGCGGGTCCGAGCGCGGGTCGGAATACTTCTCGACGCATATCCACGTTGAGTACGTCAGCCCCGTTTGCGGCGGGAATACTCTGTCACCTAGAACAGTAATTATTATTATAGACATTATATAGAGATTATGGTTATGTTACAAATATGAAATATGCGTGGGATTTAAATAAAGGTGATATTTTTTTTACAATCTTTATTACTTTTGAATTAAGCCTTTATCAATATCAATATGTTTTAATGTCATTTCTTTTTTATTACGAAAATAGTTATTAAAAAGTGCAAATATAGGTGGGAAAGTCAAAGTAGCTGAAACGCACGAGAGTAACACAGCGATCTGCTATTTTGTCGCTACAAATTGAGTCGTCATTTTTCTGTGTATATCATACTGTGACGTTACACCAAGCGCGCGAAACGGCGAACGTTTAAAGTATTTGTATCGGTATGATATTAAAAAAATATACTAAATTTTAGTTTTATTGGAGCTGGATATTTTTTTACAATTATAAAACGATGTTTAAATATTGTATAAAATAAATTTAAAAAATCCCGCATATTCCCTATTGGTTTGGTCCTTAGTAGTCTTTTATTAGAAAAAAAGACAGAATTTCCTAATAAGTGTACATATTAAAACAATGATGAATTTAACTTTTCTTAAGATATTTTCTATTAAAAATTATTTCAATATAATTATAGTCACATTACAATGTGAACAATGTTTTATAAATGTAAATAAATGATCTTTATTTATAATGAGTGTTTATTATTATATTTCAATATTTATTTATATATTTCTTATAACATATAAAATACCTGATCCAATACCGCCAAGTGTAGCGTTATCTTGTGTTCCAAGAGCGTTTAAATTAGCTGATTGTGGGGCGATACTGGGCAAATACAAGCAACCAAAGCCTTCAGCAGACATATCAAATTCCACAAATGGAGGGAGCGTACAGGAATTTTGCGACCTGCCGACGTTAGATATACTAGAAAAATAGTAAGTCAGGAGTTCAAGGTAAAATTTTGGATTGTTTAAACAATTGTAGAATTACCTGTAGTCCCGTGGAGTCGTCATTGATACTAAAGTTTTAATTCGAGTCAAGGGAACGGGTCCGCCGGGTTGCCACACTTGCCCGGGTTCAGGAGCTAAACAATTCAAAGGATTTCCCATACGTAGGAATTCCCTGAAATTAAAATATCATTCATAACATTAAAGAAAACTCTGAAAGATAAATGACTTTTAAAGATTAAAATTACCGTAATAAAAAATAGAAAGAATAAAATTCTTATTATAAAATAATGATAATAAATTATTCTTTATTAACGTCCCACTGCTGGGCACGGGCATATTTTAATTACGAGTAGGATCAGACCATAGTCAGATACGCCTATCGACATCTCTTACGAAAATTAATTAGGTTCTCTCAAAAATGTAGTTTTCGCTCTTCTTCGCTTCGTCGATGTTCTTCTTCACGGTATGGCAATCATTTTTTTTTCAGATTTTTTATTTTGTATATAAAAAACATAACAAAAGTTTTTATTATATTTGAACTTTCATCACTTTGGTTTTCAAAGCAAGCGCGTTATTATTAGGTAGGTTGGTTACCTTGCCACTGACATTAACAGAATATTAAAAACATATATTTTATAATAATTTATGAATCATTACTGACCTTAAATATATAGATAAACTAGCAATACCCGTGGGCCCTTTAAGAGAAGTAAGGTGACAAACATACGTACAGGAGAATTATATATATTAAGATATATACATAATACACAGAGATATGACTATAATATGTCAAGAAGCACGTAACCGTTTCGGTAGGCACAGTACCTGAGCTCGGTGGGGCGCAGCGCGTGCGCGGCGAGGCGCTCCAGCACGTACATGGCGGGCGCGTGCAGCGGGTGCCGCTCGGCGCGCAGCGCGGCGCCCAGCACGCGCAGCGCCACGCCCGCCAGCCCCGCGCCGCACATCACTTGCTGGTTGCGCTCGCTGTTACACACATCGATATATTACCTAAGGTTGTATACATGGATATATGTATGAATTCAGCCCTTTCTAACGTCCCACTGCTGGACATCGACCTCCCTTCAATACGAGGAGGATCAGGCCATAGTCCACCACGCTGGCCAGGTGCGGTTTGGCGGACTTCACGTGTCTTTTGAAAACTTGCTAGGTTCTCTCAGACATGCAGGTTTCCTCACGATGTTCTCCTTCACCGTTAAGACAAGTGTTAATAATGTTGGAAATGATTCGCACTTGAAAATATCAGAGGTGCGAGACCCCGGGATTTAAACTCGCTTCATACGGTTTTCCAAGAGAGCGCGTTACCACTAGGCTACCACTGCCTTAATTATAACTGTAGGTTGTGCTTTATAATAATCATTAATCACGTATCTTAATAATCACTGTCTTTTCTTGCCCGTCAAATATTTGGTATTGTTATGACAAAATTATTTTAGCATTGCTAACTTAACATTAGTCAATTAATTAAAAAAGAAATGTTTTGTGCATGTATACAATATAAAAACAAAACCAAAGTGTCACGAACTGCTCTTGAGCTCCCTCATTTCAAAATGGACATTTTTTAACGCTCTATGTAACGACGACCCTATATAAGATATAGATTTAAATCATTGAAAAAAATTTAATTATTACATAAAGACAAATAAATAAGACGAAAATAAAAAAACTTCACATCTAACCTTCTAACCAGACTCTTGAGCACGTGCGCGAGGTAGTCCCTGATGGCGCGCGAGTACTCCGGGTGCGCGCGCGGGCGCGGCAGCGCGGGCAGCAGCTTGGCGAGCACGATCACCACGCCCGAGTGCACCACCCACGCCTCGCCGCTGGTGTTGCCCACCGACAGGTTTAATGGCGTCGCACGACCTGCTGGCTTCGCCTGTGGATGATTACAGTTCGTAATAATTAATGGTCGCCGGTTCATATCCGGCTCGAAGCATTACTTTTATTCGATTTACTAGATAGGTTTTGTTTTTTTAAGCGTAACCCTAATTCTTTTTCTAAAATAAAAGTAGCCTATGTTACTCCCTATAACATCAGCTATCTTCCAGTGAAAGTCCCGTTAAAATCAGTCCAGCTATTTCAGAGATTATCCGGAACAAACAGACAGACAGACAAAAAGTATAGTATCGTATATAATTGCATATGTATTTAGTAAAACGCTGTTATTTTGACGTTACAAACAGACACTTCAATTTTATTGATCTGTAGATATGTGTAATAGATTAATAAAATTATCCACTGTTGAATGCACATCCGTTTGTTGTGCCTGTCGCAAATGAACGGTGCGAGGCTCCCGTGTATTCGCAATAGGTGTAGGTGCAAAATGTCACACTTCATCAGACAGTCCTTTAATAATTAATTAATAGGGAACAATTAACGAAGGTCCGTCGGCGTTACTTTAATAAATAAATAAATAAATAATAATAATAAATAAATATGATGGGACATTAACACACAGCACCATCTAGTTCCATGGTAAGCTACGAGGCCTGTGTTATAGATACCAGGTAGTTGATACACTACTCATATATTTTAAATACATACATATTGTAAATATAAACATCCATGACTGGAGTATAAACATTCGTGCTCATCACACAAATGAATGCCCATAGCGGGTATCGAACCCGCGACCGCTGGTACAGCAAGTAGGTTCACTACAACCTGAGCCAAACGTGTCGTCTAATGATTTTATTATGGCATTTATCAATCCCCCTCCGATATACATACACAAAATGATCGATGCGTTTTTTAATAGCTATTATTATATTTATATTAAATACACATATATAAAATATCCTACCTCATTTATAGCAGAACTTTGTCTCGTTAAACTCGGCGATTTTACATTGAGTGATCCACAAAACGTTGGTTTGTCGAATGAATCCAGAGCGACGTCATATAAAAGCCTCAACACAATGCAAGCGTGGACGAATACAACTGGTATTTTATCCGGAAATCTGAATATAATAAATTATGGCATAAAACCTTAACCCAAAATATTGTCGTGATCACATTCTCGTAATTAAATAACAAAAAATGTGTATGTATTTTTTTATTATAAATAGCACTTACGTCATTTCTAATATATTTCCCGTAAATAATTCATGGAACACCTCGTACAGTTCAGGGTCTCCTGGTTCTGTATCATTTTGAAGTTCAATATCCTCAGTGAAGCAACCCAGCAATCTTATCGTCTCATACAAAGTTGTCATACAAATCTGTAAAAAATAACTCAGATTGGTTGTGTTGAAAACATGAGAAGCAAAGACATTACATTTACTATATCTAAAATTTCGTGTACTTACCTCGTGGTGAAAAAATTTGGCATTGGCAGGTTCAAACCTCATAGCTGTGCTGATAGTGTAAAATACAATGTGTATTAGTTGAAGCATATCGCGATCCATCAATTCGTCTGATTTTAATTTTCCTTCCAGTGACACCAGTACACTTGTCACATATACAAAACCGCTGACCTAAAATAATGAAAAATAACCAGTCACAGCGTAGAAATGAGTAAAATAGCAAAATCATCGTTTCGGAAGACTTCTTATTGACCTAACCTATATAATTGCTCTTTCACGCCAGAACGGCTGAACGTATCTGGATGAAATTAGGCACAGAGATAGATTATATGTAGTATGGAATAGCACATAGGTTACTTTTTATCCCGTGAAAATGTACGGTTTCCGTAGGATAGATTTGTTTTAGTTTTGCACTAGTGACGAACCCGAGCTAGCGAGGGTGAATGGCTAGACTATACATATAATAAAATTCTAAGTCGAATCTGTACATTAAATATTTTTTGAAAAAACCTTATTGAAATAGTTATTATTATCGATACAGAAGCCAAATCTATAGTTATTAGAATTTTTATCCCTTAAATCACAATGATATACATGTTAGATAACAAGTAACGCTGAATGAACTGACACACTGAACACTGAACGAGTATTCATGCGCACATTTAATATTAGTATACTAATATATTATATAACTAAATCTGAAACAATTTTGTTACAACAAAGCACACTCACCTTCCTAAATATAGTTCTAGTCCTATGCGAGTCCCTCAAGCAAACCAACAGAGCTTTCAATATATGCAGTTTCAACTTCAAAGCGTCGTTGGGCGCGGCGTGCATGCCGCACAGCAGCGCCGACATGTCCTCCTCGCCGGACCCGCTCACTATCAGCTCTCGCACCACGCCTGTGTACATTCATTGAATATAACATTTTCTTAGATTTATGCAAATATGTGCATTTTAAATGAAACTATCCTTTCGGACTTTTTCGCGGATTTATTCAATAATCTTCTTCTATATAAATATAAGCAAAAATTAAAAATAAATCACCGAAATGTATGTACGCGCATAACTTCCGATCGACTGCACCAAATTGGATAATCCTTTTTTGTGTTTGTTATTGTCATATATAGGTCAAGCTGTGTATAGAAGAAAATTAAAAGATTTTTTTTTACTAAAATAAGTTTTTTTTAAATGTCATGATATGAAAAGTGAGTGAGTGAAATAGTTTTTACCCCGGAAATCATCCCTTAAGGAGGTGAGAATGGGGATGAAAGTTTGTATGGGGATTATCTATACTAATATCTATATTAAATATTAATATTATAAAGAGGAAAGATTTGTTTGTTTGTTTGTACTGAATAGGCTCCGAAACTATCCCGTACATCATCCCTTAAGGTGGTGAAAATAGAGGTGAAAGTTTGAATGGGGATGCAAGCCAGGGACTAACCCGAGCGAAGCGAGGGTGAGTCGCTAGTGAATAATATAATAGTTGAAAGAAAGTTATATTACTCGTACAGTAACGTAAAGTGACAAAAAACAAGATTACGTTGGTTAGCTAAGTTTTATTCATTAGCTTTATTTTATTAGCTTCATATTATTTATTTGTTTCTATAGGATACAATTATAATATAATACATAGATTAGTCAAATTTTTTACGATACTGACTCACCTTACAAATGTTATTGTGTATTTAATATGATAGGTATGTTTTTTCTATACTAATACTATAAAAGTTTTTTAGTGTGTTTGAACGTTCTAAAACTAGCAGCCAGATTCATAAAAATCATTTCGCATTCCATAGCCTATTTATTGAGGAAGATTATATTTATCATCACATTAAGATTCTTTAGGAGCGAAGCCTATACATAAATATAAAAAGGCGATAGGTGCCGATGTAGTAATGGTGTATATATTTAGTAAACTATCGTATATAGTAAGCTTACCCAAAGCCTTACTCCTACAGGATTCGTGCACGACCATGCCGTGTACGCACTTGGCACCGCCGCAGTCCCGGAACACATTACAGTTGTTCACATTGCCATTCAATAACGCAGTCAATCCTTCCATAACCAACGATCCCAACTCCTCTTCCTCAATTTCTGTATTCGGGTCTTTGATTAAGGAGTCTTGTCTGGATTGCCTCTTCTTTCGCTCCGGTGCTTTTGGCGATTCATTCACTGAAGAGACCTCCGTTTCACATTTGGCTTTCTCCTCCTCTAACAGTTGCTTGTCTTTGAGAAACACGGCATACCGAGAGAGGCACGTGACGAAAACTTCTAACATACCCACTTCCCGGTATACGTCTTTGAAAATTGCGTTATGTCTAGAAATATAACAAATTCATTTAGTAAGAGGATATATTGCCTGTTATTCTGAAATATTAGATTAAAATATCATCGTCTGTACTCACTTTAGTATATTTAATAGCGTTTTCATACATAATATGCTACAGCTTCTAGATCTACTAGCTTTCAATAACAGCGAAAGCGATATCAGTTCTTTGCAGGGCACAAAGTTTAATTGAAAAACGATGAATTCCAGGAGTTCAAAAAACTTTTCTTGTATTTCCGCGTTTTTCGTATAAATCCTTTCAGAAAATTGACTGAGTGTATTCTGGTTTTCTAATATGAAGTAGTTTGCGTTATCTGCGTGATACACACTTGATATTGCATCGAGAATGGTACAGCAAAGAGCTGGGGAAGTAGACTTCATAAATACTGATTGTAACACCTGCAATAAATAATTAATGTGAATTTATCATGTCACTAAAATACATCTGGAAGAATTCGTTATTCATTGTTATAGTGACAGTTCCCATCGACCCAGACCATCGAGTAGAAAAAACCTAGTTAAAAATAATCGCAACAGATGGCGCAATGGATTTGTTATTGATCTTTATATAAGATTAAAAAAACCTCAAAAATACATGTTCATTTTATAATAACATAAGGAAAATGAACTAATAGATTGTTAAATTAAATTCCCATAACTTTTCAATTTTATTAATGTTAAAAAAACTGCCATTAGATAATAAATAAGCCATTTAGCCATCTATGACATTATAGCGCGGAACAAATTAGCTTGTTATACTTCTTTTGGCTTGTTTGGAAAAAAATATGAGAGTAAAATTTCTACGATGCGCGCGCACACCGACAGCTAAAAAGCGACATGATGAAGTTAGCTGAAAGCGACATGATGAAAGTTAGCTGCATTCCTTTTACAAACAGAGAGTTGTGACATACGAGATGAAGTCTTTAGCTATTTTGTTCTGATACGCCAAAGAAATATAACTTCTTACGTGCGTACATAAGTACACACACACACATTCTTTTTTTGCTCTCATCCCAAAATATCTCAGAAAATGTCCCAATAAAGCTCCTGTTAAAAGCGGAGCTCAAAATATATATATATATATATATATATACACACACACACACACACATATTATGTGATCTGTCGTCATAAAAAACATTCTGCTTGTGTTACCTGAAACGCCTGAACATTCCTCACAGCCTGGCCGGGGGTCGTCGGCTGCGGCAGTACGAAGCCTTGCAGTTGGAACAACTCAGTATTAGCTCTAGTTGGTCGTAACTCGGAAAATCCACAAGCGCATAAAGATGATATCATTAGAACCAAATTCCTTAGCGCTGCTTTCGCTTCGGAACCACTCACTCTTTCTTCTTCTAGCCTGATTATTGATTAAAAATTATTACTTCAATGCCTTTATGAAATTTAATAGGAAACTGTGCATTTATTAATAAACTGTTGTTTTATTTGAAATGGTACTTCAAGCACTGAAAATGTGTGATGTATTGTTAGGCTTTTGCTTGCAAATAACATATGAATAACCAGCAATACTTTTAAATTCAATAGTATAAAATAAAATAAAAAATAATGTTTAGGAGTATATTATTCAAAATACATTTTGTTCATCATTTATGATAATTACTTTATTATGAATCATTGAGATATCATAAATAACCATATCATCTATACTTATTATAAAAATAAGTCCCCCGGCCGCGTCTTTCTGTCCTCCTGTCTGTCCTCCTGTCTGTCTGTACGCGATAAACTCGAAAACTACTGAACGGATTTTTATACGGTTTTCAACAATACAAAGAGTAATTCTTGAGGAAGGTTTAGGTATATAATTTATTATGCTTTTATGTAAATTAGCTGAAATACGGCGACAAATGTTGAAGAGGTCGCAAAAAATCTCGCCAAATGGGAACTTTCCACGCGAACGCCGCGTAAACTAGCAAAGATACAGTTAAGTAATGTACTAGAGAATTCAAAATCTATAAAAATGCTACAAAAAAGTCCGCGATAGCATATCTCTATCTCTTACGGTTGACTTACAATAACCACTTTTATGTTAACATTTTTAATTAAAAACATTACGTTATTTTCAAAGTTATTTTCTTTAGTTCGGTATTAATCCTTATCCAAATGAATATTTTAGTTAGCTTAGTCATTTAATGCAGATTAAAATTGCTCTTTACACTAAATCAATCAGATGAATAGTTTTTGAGATATCGTTGTTAGAAGTAATTAGTAGCGAAACATTTTTAATGCTTGGCGAGCATTGAGATGCCTACGGCGAGTCCATCCCCTCTGCCCCGCATCGCTCGACCGCCTGCTCAAGCTATATAAACCGGGCGATGTAGCGCGCGATCCTAGGATACTTTTTACCGCGGGAAAATATCTTATTTCTGAGGAAAAATACAAAAACTGCAATGTAAGAGTATACTAATATGTAACACCTAAGAATTTAGTTTTTGGTCATCTGAACGCGGGCGGAGCCGCGGGCAATGCTAGTACTTATAATAAATCTGTAGAGAGGTCAATTCTGTACATAAAATATATTTCTAAAATAACTATCAGGGGGTGATTAGGGATCGATACTGATGCCAAAAATGCAATCAGTAAATTTTTTGTCTGTCTGTCTGTCTGTCTGTATAACCGTTATAGAAACAAAAACTACTCGACGGATTTTAACGAAACTTGGTACAATTATTTTTCATACTCCTGAGCTGGTTAAAGTATACTTTTCATCACGCTACAATCAATAGGAGCAGAGCAGTGAAGGGTAATGTTGGGAAAACGGGAGAAGTTACTCCATTTTTTAAGCTTCCGTCGCGTGTGCAACCTTAATGGCTAAAGCAACACAGAAATCATGTATGACGGAAATGTTCTCCTTAAAATTATATAAAAAATATCCCACGACAGCATATGTCTATCTTTTATGGTTGACTCACAATAACACGTGTAACTCCCGATAGCTTAGCAGTTCGAAGCTTTCTGATTTATATTTGTCTACTCTTACGTTTATAACACTCTCAGTCATCCCTAATTAAAAAAGTTAACATTATTAACTATTCCATAAAAAAGAATCATAGAAATCGGTATAGAAACACCAAAGTTATACATGAAATACGCTAATAATAAGCCATCGCGCGTGAATACTGATTCGCGTCTCGCGGCCGCTGGTATAAAAGGCGGGGCGTCCGAAGCGTGATTATGTACTTTTATTTTTAAATATTATATAGATTGAGACTAAGAGACACAACTAAAATGTAGTAAAAATAATATATGGTGGTCGATAAAATAAGATAATGATACCTATTGTTTTTTGTTATGTATGTAGGTATATAATCGTTTTATAGACAAAGATCTTCGCGTATTGTACCTAGTTGTTAGAATTTTATTAGGTTAATGTATAAATAGATCCTACGTAGAAATTATTAGTCATATTACCTATGTTCCTCGCTATCAATTAGATTTAGAATTTAGATAGTTTTCTTTGAAAAAGGATTAGTTATTAAAAAATGATATAAAAATATTTATGATGAAATTAGGAAAATTAATTATCTTATTTTTATTAAAATCGATACATTTTTGGGATGACTAATTCACTAGACGTCATTATCGATAAGAAGTAAATAACATGTTATATCTATACTTATTATAAAAATAAGTCCCCCGGCCGCGTCTTTCTGTCCTCCTGTCTGTCCTCCTGTCTGTCTGTACGCGATAAACTCGAAAACTACTGAACGGATTTTTATACGGTTTTCAACAATAGAAAGAGTAATTCTTGAGGAAGGTTTAGGTATATAATTTATTATGCTTTTATGTAAATTAGCTGAAATACGGCGACAAATGTTGAAGAGGTCGCAAAAAATCTCGCCAAATGGGAACTTTCCACGCGAACGCCGCGTAAACTAGCAAAGATACAGTTAAGTAATGTACTAGAGAATTCAAAATCTATAAAAATGCTACAAAAAAGTCCGCGATAGCATATCTCTATCTCTTACGGTTGACTTACAATAACCACTTTTATGTTAACATTTTTAATTAAAAACATTACGTTATTTTCAAAGTTATTTTCTTTAGTTCGGTATTAATCCTTATCCAAATGAATATTTTAGTTAGCTTAGTCATTTAATGCAGATTAAAATTGCTCTTTACACTAAATCAATCAGATGAATAGTTTTTGAGATATCGTTGTTAGAAGTAATTAGTAGCGAAACATTTTTAATGCTTGGCGAGCATTGAGATGCCTACGGCGAGTCCATCCCCTCTGCCCCGCATCGCTCGACCGCCTGCTCAAGCTATATAAACCGGGCGATGTAGCGCGCGATCCTAGGATACTTTTTACCGCGGGAAAATATCTTATTTCTGAGGAAAAATACAAAAACTGCAATGTAAGAGTATACTAATATGTAACACCTAAGAATTTAGTTTTTGGTCATCTGAACGCGGGCGGAGCCGCGGGCAATGCTAGTCTTTTATATAAAAAGTGTTTATTATGTAAACTAAATCTATGCAAACTTAAGGGGGAAACTTATTACTAACTAATTACAAAAGCATAAAACGAAATATTTTTATTTATTGATTAAGAACCAAAATATTAAACAGTGCTTACCCTGATGTTAAATAATCGGGCACACCTTGTCTCTCATGTCTGTGGTAATAATAAAGATAAAAATGTAAGGGAAAACCTATGGAAAAATAATTCAAAACTAAGCAACTAAATATGTGAAAGCGGTTACTACTAAAATATCTATTACACTATAACATGCTAATCAAAATGTAAATACATGAAACAATTCTTACTTGAGAAGAAACTCTGATAGAAACAAATATCCTTGACAAGCTCGAAAATCATCCAATAATAATTGACTTACTTCACTGGAATCTTTTAGAAAACAAAATACTGCTACGAACATTTCCACAACCTGCAAGAAAATATCATTATTCATAACATTTTTATTTTATTTTAGTATATATTAAGTACAATGTACATGAAAGATTGTGGTACAACAACAATTTCATTTATAAATAGTAATAGGTAATCCAAGATAGAAAGATGTATATGCAAAAATAAGTGTAATATTCTGCTCAAATATAATAACATAGTAGATACCTCTAAAGGTGTCAATTCAGGCACCCTTTGCATATTCTCAATACAAAGTGGCACACAGCTTTTATCTGTAAAATAAAATTAATATTTTTACAAATTCATTAACAACATTTAATGTTATTAATAGTTAGTAACCTGTTAGTAATTTAGGTATAAGTTTTCATTATTAGCTTTCGACTTTGATAGACAGACATAGTCCTGCCAAAAATCACCTTTGGGTGGAAAATTAAAAGAAATATTTCTGGATTTCGACAACAGCGCTACCTGCTGGGTCCAACTATCAAATATGAAAAACATGAAGGATGAAAGGTAATTAAAGACTGGAAGGAGGTAATTAAGGATTGGAAAGTTAAACTAAAGGGCCATTTATTAATTACGTAAGGGTCTCCGGGGGGAGGGAAGAGGGGGGGGGAGAGAGTTAAGAAAATCTATACATGCCCTTATCTGGGAGGAGAGGGGGGGTAAAACCCAGTCCTACGTAATATTTTACAAGTCAATTTTTTTTATTTAAATCTATTTCTATTTCAGATGCTGGTACATGGGGGTAGGAAGAAGTCAAAAATCGTCAAAATTATCCTTACGTAATTAATGAATGGCCACTAAGCATAAGAAATTTGTAATGAAACACTAGTTAAAAAAATTCGAAAAGTTGTCAAGTGACCTATGTCTACATTAGATCCGATGAAGTTTTAAAACTTATGCGTTATGCTATTAAAAATAAGTCTGTTCATAATACATTAATTACCTCAAAAGGCATGTTTCTTTTATGCATATCTATGGCACTATCAATATCAATATAATTATAATAATGACACTATCAAACTATATAACCTATCAAAATGTATAATTATTTCCCTTTCTTTTAGAGTAAGAAAATACACTCTTATATGGTATACTTATGTATATTATATTACATATACGGTAATACATAAGACATAAAGTAAGAAACATACAGTAGTGAGCAATTGATATGTTCCACACTGCATACTCATAATTTATATTATCCTTGAAAATTGTTTACACAACAATTCCAATAGATAAAGTGCTAATTGGTTAGTCTAGTTATTGCTTTTCTAGTTATTGTTGATGTTTGTATATACAGTTGAGTGCAATTTTAAATCTATTATTTAATATCCAAATGACTACAATATTTTTTTTTTCATGTACCTTTATATTCATGTTAAGTATCATACATTATGTAATAAAGTATACCTTTGTAAAATAATAATTGAATATATTGACCAATCTGTAATTTATCAACTTGTTTGACTGCTTAAACCATTAAATATGTTATTACATATTACTTATATAATGAAAGTAACATAGTAAGATAACTCACTGTGTATGTACTGAACCACAGTTTGAGTCAGTCCATGTCTAGATAAGGTCATCAGAACTTCAGCCGCTGACTTCCTCCACATTATGTTATGTGGTGCACACCAAGATGTTATTGCAGAGAAGAGAAGACTCAGGTCATCTTTTCTTGCCAATTCTTCACATGGAAATGGATGACTGCATAATCGTACTAAAACCTAAGCAAGCATTGATTATTTTTTACAAGTATGTTTGATATGTAGTAGTTTTTTATAACTTTATTTAATTACAAAAAACAACTAACTTGAACAAAAATCTTTTGCAAAAGTATCCTTCGCTCTCTTGGTGTGAATTCACTATTATCATCTTGCACATCTGCTTCAGACTCTGGTATTTCAGGTAGATCAAAAAATAAGTATAAACATTTGACTAGTGTTGATGGGATTGCTGCAGTAGTCATGACCTACAAATAGAACAAGTCACTTACTGTCACAACCAATACCAAAAAAGTTAACTAATTTATCTACTTTAAATTGTGTTTCCTGAGACACAAATATAGGATTGTAATTTTAAGTAAAACTATGTTTTTGGATGTTTTCCAAATCAGAAAGATATTAAAAGTAGATTTAAAAAAAAGTACTATAGAATTGTTTTGAAGTAATTTTATATTAATTATATATTCTATTCTAATTAGTTGAGAACAAGTTTAGTTTAAAGACTTAACAGCATGATGTCATCTTATATATCTTATATCCTCCTATCAATAAGATTTGAATAAAGGTCGTAATAATTAATGATACTTTAAATTGAAAATAAATGTATGAAGATTTTACATACATAAAGGGATTTATTTGTTATACTAACCTGTATCAATGATTGGTCACCAGCTGCCAATAGATTAAGAGTGGAAAGAAGCATCCATCCATTGCTAGATTCCTCTGAATTTTCTATTTCTAAGAATTTAGCTATTGCACAACTAGCTGCCTCTGTGCTTTGGTTACTAGCTCGTTTTCTTATCTCAGATACCATGAGCTTAGAAACTTGTTGACAAAAAGATAATATGTCCCAAAATTTTTCATTCATATCACTTGATGGACTTGTTCCAAACACCTGCAGTGAAATAGTGATCATTTAAAACAATTAAACTAACCAAAGTTAAGGGATTTAAAGTACTTAGTAAGATAAATTAAATATACTTTATTATGTGTATATTTAATTATTTTTTCAGATATCTTAATATTGAAGTTAGAATTGAGACATCTTTGCTATATTAAACCATTTTTATATAAATGTTTAATTTTTTAAATCAGATTATTGCCAGTACACTACATCTCACAAACAAGAATCAATCAATCAAAAGAGTACATCTCAATAGTGAATCAATTTATCATTATTTAGAAGGCTTTTCATGCATTCATTTTTTTCTATAATTCTTAAATTTATAACTATGAATGCACACTTGCATTCATTCTCATCATTTTTTTTTGTGAATGCACCAAATGTCAGGTCATCAGGTTACACTTACTAACATGGCAAATAAATGGAAATGATTGAAAAATATTTTAAAATCATCATTGTAATTCAGACATGTTGTTTATGTAATCTCTCAATGTAATGAAAATCATCTATATTGCAAAGAAATATAGTGTTGACTAATATAAAGTGTGTATATATAGTTCTATATTTTAAATAATTATAAATATGATTTTTTTGATATTAAATAGCTTAAAAAATTAAGAAACATAGTTTTTTACAAAAGTATCACAAATTGTAATGGAAGTACTTATTTCTTAAATATTTTATGAAAACAAACAACCCACTTACATCCTTTTCTGTTCAATAAATTGTCAAAACAGAAAAATCTAAGGTTAAAATATATTTGTTTATCATTGTCTAAAATATAATACTTATCAAAATAAGTTAAAATAAAATCAATAAGAAAAATCTTCTTTAGTGACAAACCTTACAAAAGAGAGGTAGCATGTTATACAACTTATCATCTTTTTCTGCTTCTGTCAGTGGCTGAGGTGGATGTGTATATTCTGCAAAGAGTTTCTTCAAGTGCATTAGACCTAACTGTACGTGGGAAGATGAGCCCGAAGCTTCCGAAGGCTCCGCGGATGTTGAGGCGGACGCCCCACGCAATTTGCGCATTAAATTCATTTTAAGAAATAAATCATAAGCCCGGATCAAAACATTTTCTTGAGCTCGAAATTCACTGTTGTACTAAATGTACTCGTTTTATTATTTTCAGGACATATTTCACGAATTAAAATTATTCCGACACTACACAAAAGCACTAAACAAATACAAGCTTTAATAGTTCACATGTTTTATAATTTGTTTAAATTAGATGTTTATTTTGTTTTTAAGTATCTATTTTTAGAATACCGAATAAATGTAGTATTTTTGATCTTTTTGTGCAAATATAATTTCTAATTTCTATACACCCAGTACCCACAATACTTTTTTTCCATAGTCCATACTACTAGGGCTGTACCGACTACCGAACAATAAACAACAAGACCTAATGTCAATTTTTATCAAAAATATCAGTTCGATATGGTTCGATCGGTTGCGGGTTGACGTATAAATATAACACCAAAATTATAAGTGAATAAAAATTATAAATTCTTATCAAAAAATAATTTCAATTCAACGAACTAACTATGCATTTACCATTTACAATAATTAATATAGTTTAATTTAGGTAGTAAGGTAGGAAATCGATAAGAATATAACAAAAAAAAAAAACATTAAATCGTTAAGTAGGGTTAAATAAAATTTGACGTATTTGTTTATTTCCTTCTCTATCTTTAAAACTATTCTCTATTTAATTTGATCAAAGCAAATAATCGCTATCGCAATAAAATAATAAGTAATTGGTTCATGTTAAAAAAATAAACTCAAATCTATGTTTTATTTTGTTTTTATATTACTAATTTTAACAAATACGTAATTTCTTTAATTATATTTTTTGTTTTTTTATTAAAGATATATGTACGAAGATTAAAGGAGTTGTATAATATCGATATCGATAAGTTTTGGAATTGGTTGCTTTGGCCTTATCTTTGACAGTAAATTTGCATCTTTACTCTTTGGTCTTGCGATTTGTCATTTGACAATTGAAGTAGGTAATTTATTTTCAGCGTGAAGTGATTTTTTACTAATAGTGTGTACTTTAATTTAAAATAATCACAAATATTTAACCATTGTATAATAAATATGCCTGAAGATAAAAATTTAGTACAATGTTATAATCGCGGTTGTGGCAAAGTTTTTGATCCCAATAAAAACGATAAAGGTATGTAGATTTTTCTAGATGCAGGTTAAAAAACATTGCTGAGTTACAGAATACATAATAATATGTTATTTTTTTAGTGAAAATATTTAAGAGGAACATTTTGTGTTATATATTTCTTTCTCTTATTAGATGAGTGCTGTCATCATCCAGGGGCACCTATTTTTCATGATGCTTACAAAGGTTGGTCTTGTTGCAATAAGAAAAGTGTGGACTTTACAGAATTTTTAAATATAAAAGGCTGTACATTTTCAAAACACTCTAATGTGGTAAGATATATTAAATTATTATATCTTCTATTAAATATTCTTGTTTTGTGATATATTTATATTATACTTTGTTTCATTTATTACTTTATAATTACTTTATTACTCAACTTAAAAGCTCCTTTTTCCTTCATAATATTTGTTAAATTAAAATAATTTTCAGAAACCTCCAGAACCAGAGAAAAAGGCATTAGATAAGGAATTAGAAAAAAAGGAAGTTATAGAAGTAAGGGCACCAATAGTTGGGCCTCAGTTGCCTAGACCATCATTTGATTCTCCTATGGTCACTTTACAACCTAGTATTGCAGAATCATTAAAAGAAATTGTCCACAAAGCAGCACAAGAATCAATGGCCCCTACTGATGGGTAACATATAACATCTTTTTGATTAAGTTAATGTTTGCTGAAGAAATTAATTAATAAACACTTATTTAAATGATTACTTTATGATTTTTTAAAATATATGTCTTTGTTTTATTTCTTTAGATCCATTCAAATTGGTACTACTTGTAAAAATGGAGGTTGTAGCACCTCATATGAAGGCCCACAGAGTAATAACAACATGTGTACATACCACCCCGGATGCCCAGTGTTTCATGAAGGTCTCAAATTTTGGTCTTGCTGTCAAAAAAGAACAACAGATTTTAATACTTTTCTCAGTCAACCTGGTTGTACTACTGGTACCCATAAATGGAATAAAGAGGTATAATTCGATTATTGCATACATTTTCCAAAAAAATATATGAGAGTTAATTTTAAGTTACATAAATTAAATCTTGAAGTTATATTATTTTCATTTATAAAAACTAATTCTATGGAGGTTTTGTATTTTTTTAATAGAAAGCTCCAGAAGGAACAGTTAAATGTCGCTGGGACTGGCATCAAACTCCTGATTTTGTTATTGTCAGTGTGTACGCAAAGAAATATGATCCATTTGTAAGTTTTGTGAAGTTGAATCCAATTCGCTTGAATACCAAATTAGTTTTTCATGAAGAGGGCAATGCAGTTTTTGAAATGGACCTTGAATTGAGAGGTGTAAGTAAAAATTAAAATAAACATTGATAGTCATGAAATGAAAAATCATCATTATTTATTGAAATTCGATGTTGCTTAAGTACAGTATTGTAGATATTGTTTTGTATTTTTGCAGCAACATTTGCTTTATACCTTGTCTTACTCTTCTTTTTATGAAATATTGTTTAAGGATGATTAATAGAATGCGAAAATAATAGAATCTAATTTACGTATTTAAAGTAGTTCGATCTCACTCAGGCTAAACCGCCGAACCTAGGGGCTTATCTGACACAGTACTACAAATATCCTATCCCATATTAGGAAATTACCTTGATTGGCCTTAATTTGGGCTATTTTAGTTGGCTTAAATAAATTATACATGATGTTGATCTGATTGTCTGAACTTTTTTATATAATATATTATAAATATGTGTATGTAAAATATATCAAAATTAATTTGTCACTTGCTGGCTGTTAAATTAATTAAAAAACAGACCTGAGCCAGCTATCTTGACATAGTTAGCGGTCTCTATTTTATCGATTAGTGCTGTTAAGTGGTAATTATCAATGATTACAACATCGAAATCATTCATAATTCAGACTTAGCGTTACAAATCAATAAATGATAAATTAAAAATTTAAAAACCCCCAACCATCTTGGACCGATTTTCATCAAACATAGCTAAGAACACTCACGACGAATTCACCTTTCAAACAAAACAAAATCAAAATCGGTTCATCCGATCGAGAGCTATGATGCTACAGACAGACACAAACACACAGACACGTCAATCTATAACACTCCATCGTTTTTGCGTGGGGGGTTAATAAAATAGCCATCGCTAACTGTCGAGACTGGCAGCCCTGGGCAACTAATTTTACGTACTGTAAATTATCTTTTATGTTTTTATTATATTCTGATGTGCACATAACGCTTTTAGGTGGTAGATATCGATAAGAGTAGTGTTTCCATGATGGGAACTAAAGTAGAGATAAAATTAAAGAAAGCAGAACCGGGTGCTTGGAGCAAATTTGACTTCCCCAGGACTGAACCTAAGAAAGAAAACAAGCAACCTGAAGTACTAGTTGAAGAAGATGACTCAGTGGATTTGTCAACCGTTGAAGCTATACACTCTATGGGCAAAGTAAATGTTACAGACTAAGATTTTATTTGTCACTGATCTGTTGTACAAATTTCAATTAAATGAGTACCATCATAATCTTATATAATTACGTTTATTTTTGTATAACAATGTGTAAAACAAATCCTGTATTCAAAAAATTCAAATTTTATTGAAGAGTCGAAATAAATATGCTTATTTTAAAAGAGGAATCTTTTAATCAAACAACCTTCATCCCAAGTATGTTTTAATAGTTCTAACAATAATATATGAATATTTACATACATAGATGCTAAACTTTGTTTACCAAGTTACAGTGACAATGAGTATTTGAATCTTTCATTTTACCAAAATTTATTGATAATGAAGTTGTTGCTTTTAAATACACAGAGCAAAAATGAATATTTCGCAGCACCTGTTTGTGGATATGTTTGATTTATTATAATTTTCCATTATTGGAAATACATAGTGATAAAATTTTATTCTACAATATTAACATTTACAATTTATAATACTAATATTCAAATGTTGACTAGAAACTTAGATTACATCTAATTTGCTTATGAAACAACTATCTATATAGAACTATTTACAATATCTCTTAAGGCTATTCCATAAAAACTTAAACTTGGTTTACTTACATGATAAGGTAAAAGTAACATTTCTTTTAAGAACCGCCTTGGTGTTTGTTGTGACAAAGGTACCCTAAATCCTAATATTGTACAATCTCGGTGCCGTCAAAGCTATGTTACGTTAGCGCAGCTAAAATTTTGAGCACTAATATTATAACATGCACTCATACATATTTAAAATTTCTTCTTGATATGGACCATTTTTCTGTTTACAATATATTAAGTAACTAGCGGCTCACCCTCGCTTCGCTCGGGTTCGTCGCTAGGTACGTTTTAAATAGATATAAAAAGAAAAAATCTTTCTTTCTCACATTTTAATTATATGTTTTAATACTTACCTATTCCGGACTAAGAGAAATCCAAAAATTAAAATATCATAAAAATTGGAACGCGGTCGAACGGGATAAAAAGTATCCTATGTCCTTCTCCTGGCTCTAAACTACCTCCCTGCCAATTTTCAGCTAAATCGGTTCAGCCGTTCTTGAGTTATAAGCGAAGTAACTAACACGACTTTCTTTTATATATATAGATTGGACAAGTATTGTAATTAAATAAATAAAATAAATATATTGGGACATTAACACAGCACCATCTAGTTCCATGGTAAGCTACGAGGCTTGTGTTATGGACACCATAAGTATATATAGTTGATATACTACACATATTAAATTTTAAATACATACATATTAAAAATTAAACCACTCATGACTGGAGTACAAAGTACAAACATTCGTGTTCATCACACAACGAATGCCCCCAGCGGGACTCGAACCCGCGACACACGCACAGCAAGTAGGGTACATATATCATAGGGCTACACATATGTTTATTGCGTCTAATCACTTTGCAGACGGCACGGACAATTAAACACATCACTCGATCGATACTCTTTTATAGACAACAATAATATATGTATTTCAAAGTTGTATTTAAGTTTCATTCGTTTTCAAAAGAACTGAACTTTTCAGCTTTTTTAAGATGACGTAGGTCTGTTGGCTCTAGTGTCTTGGACTATAATAATGTAAGTACATATTTATGTAGGTTCTATTTTAAGCTTATTTGTTTACTAAAATATATTTTATTTATTAGAATCTTAAAGGTTCTGGTTTACATTTGATTTAGTAATTAATAACAAACTTAAATCTTAATATGTCTACACATCGAAGCCACTATTGCGATGGGTTGGTATCATCGTTACTATAGTCACGAATATTTTGCATTAGCTTGTTAGCTAACTTGGCAATTTGTCAGAGTGAGCGACTTTAGCGTGTAGATACCTTTAGCACTAAAATGATTAGAAATATTTACGATTCACAGTTTTGGGTAAGTACGTTATTAGTAGATGAAAAATAACACAGATTTCTTATGATCCGGTTAAAAAAAACTGGTATCTATTTCTTCATATTATTCTCGATATTCAAGATAATTCTTTTTTAGATGCTCTTTCCAATTTCCATGAACTATAAATCAAAGTTGATTAAATAGGTACATAAGCTAATGAAACTATTGCTTTGCATAAAATAGAAATTATAACAGGTAAGCTGTAATCATTGTTTATATGCAAAGTAAAACATCAACTTTGTGAAAAATCAGATTTAGTTCATTCTAATTCATGTAAATTTTAAGATAATAGTTATGCTCGACTTGGCGGGGGCACTGCCGTGCCCCCCGATAAAGTAAGTGTCACGTACAAAAAAACTCATAAAATTTTATATTCTAATTATAGTTATTAAGGTAGCACTTTCAATCGGGATACAGGAAAATATATTCCGTTTCTTCTCTGAACTTCATTAATATAGTGAACTGTTAACATTTTGTTTTTGGCTTGATAGCTTTTACTAGTAAGATTAAAATAACTAAATTAAGGTGAAGAACAAGGGTCAGTAGTTGTGGGAGGAGGTTGGAAGGCGGGTGTAGGCGCAGGCTGCATCCTGTACATATCGTGCAGTAGTGTCGCTACAGACACGTCACCCACCGTCTCTCTGAATAGCAGTAACTCTATCGAGCGTGCCCGCACTGCGCGTAAAGATGGCAGCAGGAGTAACAGGCGACCGAATCTATAACAAATACTAATTTATTATTTGCATGAAATTTGATTAATTAATATCTCTGAATGTATAGTTAATAAGTAACGTAAGTAATTCCTAGGAAAAATAAGAATTTCCAAAAAATATTTAATGTACAGATTCGGCTTAGTTACAATTTTATTGTATGTGTAGATTATGGCTCAACTTACCTTGTAGGTTGTCGTGTATATCTAGTTCGTACGTAGTCAGCAAGGATGCACTGTGCTTGGTCTTGCAACATCTCTACAGGCTGAGTCTCACTCAAACCTGGTGTGTCTATAAATAAATAAAAAATATATGCCAATCATAATTTTTTGCTAAGTTGACGATATTCAAAAAGTATCCAATAATGATAAATACCTGGTGAAAATAATACGATTGCTTTCATACAGCCACACTCGCTTCCGTCGGGTGCGATTTGTCTAAATCGACATAAAATTTCCTAAACACATAAAAACAACATGTTATTTATTGTCTTATTCTAGTTAACATTTTTATCAATATTCATTATATTGATGACTTCACATTTAAGAGTTCTTAGACATATGTTTGCTCCCCACATTTATCTAACTTCATTTTAAGGTAAGTAGTACTTACTTCTTACCTACCTAATAATATTTTATTTTGACATGACCGTTATTCGAAGTTTACGTATTTAGATAAGCACTTCCGCTTCCGCTGCATGTGTGTCAGTAAAAATTTCACTTATCCAGTGTGATTGATACGATGCTGGTTATGCAAATGAAACTAACTACTGTATCACTTCTAGAGTTCAGAGCAAAACGATCTTCATCAGAAAAATCTTCGCAATCAATATTTTTTTTCTTGAGAGTATGTTTCATTTCTAAATAATCGAATCAAACACTTTTTATTTTCCATAACTAATTACGTATTGTGACAAAAAAATCGAAAATCGAAGATAAAGAATACTATAGGTACACATAAATATAGGTACTCATCAAATTATTATTGGTTACTTGCAAATCACGAATTAACTAATCTCCAGAAACGTACATACTATGAAAAATAGAGACTTCTGGTGAGGACTAATATGGCTATTATCCCGATAAAAAAAGCTTTTGCAGTAGTTACGTAGATGGCAGAACAAGACACTTCCTAATTGGTTTGATTTTCAAACTCATACCAAAAAATGTCAGTACCTAATGGTCTTTTTTCCTCATTATTATCTCGATAAGTGAAATTTTAACTGCTGAAAATTACAAAATTACATGATTGCTTAATTTTACATAACAGAACAATTTTTTTTAAATAATATTCAAAAATTCAATTTAAAAAAAAACAAATAACGGAGTACTCAAAATTTCTGTGCCTTTTAACATAAATACCTACAAGGTATTATACAAAAAAATTAATGTCGAGCGTAATTTTTGACGATTTTTATAAATTTAAAATTCGATTAATTTTTCTATTTTCAAAAATATTTTCCAAAATATTTTTTTTAATAGCCCCAAGTGTCCCCTTGAAAATAAATAAAATCCATTTTTGTATCTATAACAGTTTTTGAGAGATTTGAAATATAAAGTTGAAAAAAAAAGAAAAAAAAGTAAATTTAGATTTTTGCAATAACTTTTGAAACAAAAATTATTTATTTTTTTCCTTTGGCAGAACTTCGATTCGATATGATAAAAGAAAACTTCTGACAAAACTCGTCCAAATCGAAAGGGGTCGATTCCAACTATTAGTCGATTTGACATGGAATGACCACTTTATAAGTGATATTTTAACATTTATATGGTACTGATTGTCCAAAATTTTCATTATTATATCCACAAAACACCTTTTATAAAATTAAAATAAAATGTAAAAATAAATATTACTTGTAACGTATTTAATTCCAGATCCGCCAACGGCTCAGGCGGTAGCCTCGCGCGAGCAGCCGGTGCGGCCAACAAAGGAGCCAGATCCCATGGCGCGGACCACTGTGCCAAATGAAGTACGAACAGATCTTTCCAAGCCGCACGAAGTAATACGAGTTGGTCACTTGGAGCTAATGCTTGGAAAGGCGCTAAGCATCGAACCCAACGAACGGCCATGAAGAGTAATCGTGCGCTTGTTTCCTGTAATTACAATAGCTGTCTTGTAATTAAATTTGATTTATACTTTTGAATATTATGTATAAATTATTATTAAATACAAAGAAGTCAGAAAGTAAGCTACTTGGGTGTAAGTTGCCGTATGTAAAAGTGAAAGAGGAATAAAACATTCGAAATTACTAGAAAGGTTTCGAATTTTCGAATAAGTACTAGAATGCTCTTTGTTTATGCATATAAAAATGTCGGCAGTGTGTCGAGAGATCAGTTGAATTTCGAAGCTAAGTGAAAACTGAGAAGTAGGTATGGAAAAGTGAAGAAAAGTGGAGTGAAGTTATAGTGAAAGTGTATCCAGTGGTGAAAATTAGTGTTCAGTGATTGAGTTTAACCAGAACTGTGTATGTACTGCACGTGTTAGTGAATCTCCATAAGTCGCTCTTGTTAACCAAGAGCAATAAAACATCAATAGTGCGTTATTATATTTCATCATTGCATCAAATTTGCGAACCCCGAACTCATAGAACGTAACAACACTTATACCTATCTATCTAACAATTTTCTTTAGTTTTGTAAAATTAACAATAAAATATTTATTATATACATAATCTTCGTAGGCGTAACAAAGTCAATATTGTGGAATGTAATGGGCGGGGTAAGTCAAGTGAAGGCGAAAAGTCACCCTTCGACCGCCCAATCGCGAGTCCGCGCCCGCCCTCCAGTCAGAAAGACACCTACAAATGTTAATCCACATAACTACAACAACTACTTGTGGATTTGCAAAAAAAGACGTTAAAAAATCTAAACTCTTGGATAACAATGTAACTACAATTGAACCCCTTAAAAGAATATTTTAACTTAGAGTTATTTTATACTAGAATTTTAATTAAAAAAATAATTTTGTGTATCTAATGTTATGCTGTGACTTTATGATTTTATGATTATATACTAAGTAAAGATTTAAATTGACTAAAATATGTACCTATATAAATTATAACTGTGAATAACTTGGCTATACATATATGCAAATTTCTACTTATTTAGTTATTTTTAAAAAATACGTAGGTGTAATTACAGAAGCTACGTTTCTGTATAAATAATTTAAAATGCTTTAAGTGTTAGCTTACTTGTAGTAATTCCCATGTCGGTGCTAGAGGGGTGCCGAAAGCATTAGGTGGTGGACGCAATAGTGAAGGGTCTCCTTGAAGCTGCAACTGTTTTGCGCTCCACATAAGCTCCTTAATAATTAAATAAATTTACTATGAATTTCTTTTTTTCTGTATTAGACATCATAATATAGTGGTAAAACTCTTAAGATATTTTTATGCTATTATGTTTCCATAGATATTAGTTGTGATTGAGAGTTTTAAGCCGTGAAATACCTAATGCCGAGGTGGGTACTCAATTAAATTTATTTTTTAAAGAACTGGGCTAAATTCGGCTAAAAGTAAAAGCTTCGTTATAATGCTTTGTTCATACCTATCTAATTTTCTGATTTTCACTTAAAAAAAGTTTACTGAAAAGCTAATCTTCGAGTGAGCGTTTAAGTCTGTTAACATACTAACTTTTAGCGATTAGTTACCAACAAAACAAAGATTTGCCTTAAAAAAATATTAAGTTTACTAATATTATGGCAATTTACGAAATTTATATGAATAAAATCACAATGGTTAATTATATAAATTCGATGAACCCAGGAAAACCGGAAATGAATAAATGTTATAAGACTAAGTTAACAAAAAAATCTTACTAGGTACATAACTCTAATAAGCTGAATAAGTTTATGAGCACTTATGTAGGAAAAAATAATTTGATATTGTTGACTAATTTAGCTATAGTATTCAAACTTACCTGACATTTATCACTTGACATAAGCATATGCAGTAGTCCAGGCGGAGGTGGCGCGAGGAAAGGCTCTGTTATAAGAGGTAAAGGGCTGACTGCGCCTGCTCCACCCGCTCCACTCGAACCCGCAGACGATGCTGTACTTAGTGGCGCAGGCTCACTTATGCCGTTTATACTAAACTAAAAAATAAAAATATTGTTATAGATACCTACAACTACAACTAGTCTGACTACTATCATAATTACGAAAGTATTATGAGCGTTTGTCTGTTTGTTACACCTTAACGCTGTAACGGCTGGACGGGTTTAGATGAAATTTATTATACAGGATACTGATAGACTACTATGGGAATAACACATAGTATAGTCGCTAGTCCCCATACTATAATTGTTTATTTTAATGTAAATTTCAATTTTGATTTTGGATAAATTATAATGAAGATTAACTACTTACCTGAAAATTGAAAGGTTGCGCAAGAGGCGCGTAAGGCGATGGCGGTGAAAGTTTCAACGGGTGAGGTTTGTGTGTGTGCGCCAACGCTGATGGCAGCGAGCTTAGCGCACTCGGATGTGGCTTCGGCTTACGCGGCCCACGTTCGTGCTGTACCGCTGTTGATAACATTTATTTTTAGAGTTAGATTATCTTTAGAAACCTTTTAATTTAAATGCGAATTGGAATCTTGCCTTCTTTTATAGAAACTAATAAACTATGCTTGACCTGTTTAACCTGATCCATTATTATATGTTATAATATATTATTTACATAAAAGGCTTATATATTATTTATTATCAAATTTATATAATGACATTTAAATTATTTCTTTAAATGACTATATCTCTAAAATAAAGTTAAAAATGTTACTACTTTAGTACCAGGCAAGTAGGTTAGGAAAATGATAACAGTATTATAAAATTTCGTACAAATCGTAATATATTTTTAATGAATTACAAAACTTATTTATCGTAATATCATCTAACGTATTATGTATCTATTTACTAAAACAATAAAGTTATCAGCCACAAACAGTTATTAAATGAACCTACTTTATATTCTGAACTAAAAGAATATAAACAGAGATATAAAAGTTGATATTGGAAAAGTAACTTCGGTGTTGTTTAACACGGCGGATTATACAGCCGTGAACCGCTTATTCGCAGCCGATGGCCGATCCCCGGTAAGCCAGGATCACGTCGCATATAAGCTATATGATACCAACGGCAGGCACGGTTTATACAGGATGAAATGGTTATTTTACCAAAACTCTATTATAATATTCATGATTTTTAAAAGTGTTAATAGCAGCAAAATGCATTTGCGTAGTAATTGTTACGATTTCTCTTTTGTCTTCATGTCTGATGATCTATAAAGCTGTAACATTACATATAATCCACTCAACATTTTACATTTAATCCCTCCACGACCGCAGACACGCCGGGGTTACAGGTACAATAGATTTCTTAGAAATTTACCTGGAGGTGTTAATATCCTCCATAAGTATCATATTATTTATCTATTAAATACAAAACAAACTTAAATCAAAAATTGCAGGATTAAACACAAAATAGTTTGTCAGCGCGATCAATGTGCACCGGCCCCAGAGTAATGACGTCACGCAATCAGCTTAGCGCGGCTGAGTCCATGAGAATGCGGCTATTGTGTCCGCACATGGTACGGCCCGGGCGCATACGCTCGTTCCCGCGCTCAGCTCATGCCGGCTTAAAGTGAAAATGTGAATAGTGACGGACACTCCGCATGGGTATAGCTTAAATACGATTGAAAGGGTATGAACTGTAGAGTGCAAATTATACTACAAATTGTAGCGTTACCGCTCAAAATATTATTGAATAAGTATAGTATATATACGGTAAAGTTTTTGCTGTTTACACACTGGTGCAAATCCATATTAATATTATAAAAGTGAATGTGTGTTTGTTTGTCCTTCTTTCACGTCGAAACGGAGTGGCGGATTGGCGTGATTTTTTTGTGTGGAGCTAGTTGAAGGGATGGAGAGTGACATAGGCTACTTTTTATCGCGGAAAATTATCTAATTCCCACGGGATTGCACGTTATAATACAATCCAAAAAATATTTATGATCAGAATAACTTGAAACTTGGTATTAATGTTCTTCAATAAAATTTTAAATTAAATAAATACGTCTTTTAACATTTTTCAAAATTCTTACTATACGGGGGTAAGAAGGGGGTTAAAAGTTTGTATGAAACTACCTTTTTAGAGATTTCTTGTAGTTTTATCGCGAGCGAAGCCGCGGGTTCTGCTAGTTATTTTATAATAAAGGTACCTAAGAGTGTAAAAATAAATTAATGGCTTATTTTCAACCGACTTCAAAAAGGAGGAGGTTCTCAATTCGACTGTATGTTTTTTTTTTTTTTTTTATGTTTGTTACCTCAGAACTCCGTCATTTATAAACCGATTTGGACAATTTTTGTGTCGTTTGAAAGGGTATGCTTCCAGATTGGTCCCATTTAAATTTCAAAAAAAAATACCACCCCTAAGGGTGGAAAAACAACTAATGATGAATTTAACCTACTTCTAATTGTCATATTTACTTGAAACTTTGCAAGTATTTCTATTTCCGTTGATAGTACAGTGGTTCGGTGTTGTTGACCTGATCTGAGGCAAGGCCAGAAGGTGGATAGGTGGAACTCTTCAACGGCTAATAGTAGATACTTTGAGTTTGGGCTTATTTTGTTTGATTTGACAAGCCTAACACGTTAGAATCCTTACTTTTCTACTACTGTCTACACTAAAAAGGGAAAAATAAAAACTTTTTAACAAAAAAATAAAAACCGACTTCAAACAAAAGCACTAAAAAGTAAAAAATAACTGATTGGTAGTTTTCATTTACTATACATACCTAATCAAATATTTTCGAAGTCGGTGTGCTTTGGCTAAGTAATTAAAGCCTACCTATTAAATACATACTTAATCAAATATTTTCGAAATCGGTGCCAGCCCATACAAAGCAAAGCACACCGACTTCGAAAATATTAGATTAGGTATGTATAGTAAATGAAAACTACCACTCAGTTATTTTTTACTTTTTAGTGCTTTTGTTTGAAGTCGGTTTTTATTTTTTTGTTAAAAAGTTTTTATATAACTATGTATTTGGTATTGGAAGAACTGTACGAGGTTTAGTTAGAGTACTGAATGAGAGGCGCGGGCGACCGTCCTATATCAATATCATTATGATTTCATTTATATTTACCTACTATGATAAAAAATGAGCCAAAATTCTAAAATAGTAGTGACAATAAAGACACCGAAGTCATTTTGAGATGTCAATGTTTTTTCTAACTTGCGGTAAGCCTTAGGCATAGTATCGTTAATGTATTAAAGCGTAGCAAACATACGCAACTCTAACAAATGTTAACCTTCGCTTATAGGGCGAATGTAATCCCATATAGGACACGTGCTTTTTTCTCGGCTTCTTCCCCATTTCCCGAACTTTCGCTTACTACAAAATATACTCAAATTGTTAGACCTTTAAGGCTAGATTTCATTGGATCTTGCTACTGAAGGGACATTCTAGCCTAGGGGCTTAGTTACAGAGTGACGCGTATAAGTGAGATTTTAATTATTTGTTGGATAATTGAAACTTAGTTTAAGATGACTGTAGGTAACTGCTTTGTTTTAATTGAAAATTAATTAAGATTATTACTTAATATGAAATGTTATTGTATTATATGTTTACTAAAAACATATTTACACATATTTACTTTGAATGTGGAGTGAATGTTAGTGATAGTCACAATGACATTTGTTATGGTAAAACATAGCGTAATACTTCCGTAAAGTGGACAAAAAAGTTAAAAACCATAAGAGAAGCAAATAAAGATAATAAAGCAAGAATAGTAGGTATAAATAATATATAATGGTCTTGTAACGAACTTTAAAGGTTTAATTTTTTGCTCTACATTAACTATTAGAAACTAAAAATCGTTCTAATCGTTCAAGCTTTTTCCATACAATTTCCGATCTATCTAAACCTCTTCAAAACGGCCTTCGCTGAATCACATTTAAAACGTTTAAAAGGGAGATTTAACTTCAAACATCTATCAGCCAGAAGCCCCCACAGTAACGAATGGAAAGTAAACAAACAGTATTTTTGCAAAAGGTATAGCTGTTACAAAAACTACATGCACCATTGTACTGCTAAGCCGTAGGCATAGTTATTATATTTATTTAAGTTACATATACTGCATATTAACTGCATATTATAAAATCTGAGGTCGTCATTTTTTTCTATATTTTAGGCATTTTTTATTTATATTTAAAAAAAGAAGATGTAGGTAACTCTATTTAGTAGTTATTTGTGTCGAAAGACTAGTATATTAACATAAATAATATTTTTTGAATATTAATTTATTTTATAAGTAAATTAATATTAAAAAAAATGTAAGGTTTCGCTATTTTAAAGTATAAAATCATCGTCATTAATTGATTATACTGGCCACTTTGACGACGCGAATGCACAAATTACAGATACCTTTATAAATCAGGCAGTTAAAAATTACGAGAATGTTGAAGGCTGAAAAAACAAAATAAAAAAGAAATACAAATAAAATTAGAAAGACTAGGAAAACAAAAGAGGGGCATTGGTTGGCGGGGAATAATATGCTATCCGTGATTTTTAATTGGGAAAAGAAACTAAGAAATTGTTGAGAATAAGTGTTTTCTTATAAATTGTAACTAAATCTAGTTAAAATATATAAGTTTTTAAACATGGTGCTGGCTTTTCCTTATATCCTACAATTTACAAACAAATAGGGAAGAATAATTTTCTTAGCATGAATTCGTGTATTTAGGAGCCATAACAAGATTTTCTTTAAGGTCTTAGTACAAGATCTAAGAAACATCTGTTGTAGCAAAGTGTAATAGTAACCCACACCAGATTTCTTGGCAGGGGGAAGTGGGCTAGGTAACTATGTGTCTACGCCGTAGCTGCCCGTAAATGGAGTTCTGCGGTCGATAGAGTAGTGTTGTTCGCCTCTATCGATATAGATTTTGAATATTGTACTCAGGTGCGTTTTAATTACTGACAAAAAAATATTGTACTGAAGAAATAAACTAAACAATAAGTAATCAACCAATCAAGTATATTACTAAAAAGCAAATACATACCTACCTGCAAATAAATTTGAAGTTTTGGTACAGTAATGAAATAAAGTCATTAATTTTTTACTAGTATTTAATTGACTAAAAGACTTAGAGGTAGTACAGTAGTAACTCGCTGGCTTGAAAAACTAATGAAGTGGGTTTCAATATCGATCTCGAAACTTTGATATTTTCATGTGTGAATCAATTACTTACCACTTGTTTTACTGTGAAAGAAAACATCGCGAGGACACCTGCATATCTGAGAGAATCTAGCAAGTTTTCGAAAAACACGTGGATTCGTGGAATCCGCCAACCCGTACTTGGCGAGCATGGTGGACTATGACCTAATCCCTCTCGTATTAAAGGGAGGCCCGTGACTAACAGTTGGACGTTAGAAAGAGCTGAATACAGAACACAGTCAATAAGCATTGACTTCTAAGACTTCTTTCAACTTCTAATTATTTTGCATAGTACGTAGTTTTTAAAAATATAAATATGTTC